TTTTTTCTTAACTGGACCCTTTGCTTACTGAGGTTCTACTGTAAATGCATTTTTTGGGGTGTCCCGAGTAGCCCCGACGTGCGGAAATGGCCGCCATTTTTTTTGGAATGAGAGGACAATTCCGTCAATTATGTTTTCAAGCCAACACCTGGGTGCATCTTTCATGTAAGTAAAAATTTTTAATATGGCGAATATTTTTTTGGCTACAAACCTTAGCAGAAGTAACTTTTCAAAATAGCATTTTTTACCATTTTTTTCAGGAATTTTTCAAAACTAGTAAATGTAGTATTTTTCAACTTCCTTTATATTACATAGATAGGAAAAATGTTGACGTTTACGCCACTATTTTTAGTTTTGCAATATTCCAATTAGTTTTGCTACTATAACAGTTTTACGCCTTGTCGGAGGACTGTCCCAAGTAGCCCCGCCAGTCCCGAGTAGCCCCAGTTGATCTAGTAGTCTTTAACTATTTGACTATTTGTTATATATTGATTACAATATACAATTTAAATGTGTTAGCTAGCTTTTACAGGGTGGGGCAAAACTGATTGAACAGTTTTGAGGCGAAATAAAAGAGTAATGAAGGTACCTTAAAATGGGGTTACTTTGACCGGCGGGGTAACTTTGACCACTTTTCGTTTTTTAACAAAAACCCCCAAAACTCAAAAACAATTCGACATAGAAAATTTTTGTCAATGACCATCAAAGGCCTAATACTGAGGCTACGTAACACAATAGAAAGATTTAAAAAGTTTGCATATCTAATAGGTTAAAAAATTAAATTGTGACCCACGAAAAAGAGCTATTATTTAAAGCCTGTCGGAGTACCCCCTCCAATTTTTTTATTGTATGGTAAAATAACTCCAGGTTTTGATACATTGTAGTAGAACTCTTCTAGTTACATATGCGACAGACAAATTTTAGGAAAGTGTCATAGTTTGCAAATGGGGGGCGCCACCCCCCAATGGGGTAACTTTGACCACTTAATGGCAGCCGTGACGGGGTAACATTGACCGGCTTAAAAAAAAGTTAAAACTACCATAGGGACCTACGTATATAACATATTTTATGTTTGATACACCTATTAATGTTTTTTTCTTCATGTTTCAGCCTCTACAGTCTTATATATGGTAATTTTAACATAATTCCCAAACCGGTCGATGTTACCCCATCACGGCTGCCATTATATGGTCACATTTTGCCCATTTGGGGGCGGCGCCCCCCATTTGTAAACTATGACACTTTCCTAAAATTTGTCTTTTACATATGTAACTAGAAGAGTTCTACTACAATGCACCACAACCTGGAGTTATTTGGAGTTATTTTACAAAAAAATAAAATTGATTTTACCACCAGGTCAAAGAAACCCCAAAAGCTGGGGTAACAAAGACCATCACTTTTTTTGAAATTNCAAAACTATGAGAGGTAGGAGCCAGCAATTTATGGTGAGTAAAGCTAGAGTATAGACCTGTATTTTGCATGTTTCAATTTAAGTTTAACTTATCTAGTAAAAAAATGGCATCATTTTGGAAAAAAAGTGGTCAAAGTTACCCCATTTTACAATATTCTAATAAAAATATTTAATTTCAATCTTTAAATATGTGAATTTAAAACTAGAAACAAAACGATTACAATAATAAGACTATATATATATAATAATTTAATGCAGTGAATGGATATAAAATATTTTAATTGTGCACATGTTTATTTCAAAGTGTTAGCTTTTCTCATAACTTAAGTCTCGTTTCAAGTCGTATGTGGTTTGTTTGGTTATCATTCAGTTTATGTTTAGTATTGGTTTATTGGTCTGAATTACATGGGAACAGTGCAGTCAGTCACTCAGTCAATACTAGTCAGTGTGTATAGAGGGTAGAGTCTGGTAGCTTTATAGGACATAAAACTAGTAGATCAATTGATAGTGCTGTGCACTGTGCTATCAGCTACCTATCTGTTATGTGACTCTTCAATGTTTAGAAGATCTGCATTCCTGAAGAGTTTTTGTATATTGAAGCCAGTTAAATGGTCAATATTTAGCTCATTACCTTGCTCCATACAAACTTTACAAGGCTAATGAATAGACTTATCAATAATTGTTTACCCAAAAATCCCTAAGTGGTAAACACCACCTTGGCCTGTTGGCCATTATTGCAGGCTATAAGTGCCCTTTTTAGCCATCCATTATGATCCATACTGTTATTGTTAGTAGGCTAATAGTAACATAAAAAATAACACTTCAAAAATACAAAAAGCTGAAAAAATCAAAAAATAAAAAAAATCACCAAAAAATAAAAAAAAATAATTGATTTTTGATTTTTTGATTTAAAAAAAAATCACCAACCCTGGCAAATACACATATACTTAAAGGATTCCTAATATATTCACAGACTTATTTAAAAGTCTCAAACCATAATATTCTTTCTATACAAACAGTTTATCACTATTTAGTAAAGGTCATTTATCAACTTTCCTACATGTTTCGATGTTCTCACTAGTTGACTAGGACTTTTGCTCTGCGGATCTTAAAATTTTCCCGCTAGACCTAGTGTTTTGCAGAAATCTGGTGCGCAATAGTATGACGTCACTATTTCAACCGTGGAACTAAGACTAAGATTTCAACTAAGACTAAGACCAAGCTTAATATAAAGGAAAAAGTTTAGGAATGTTGGAATTACCCACAGTGTCGGAATATGGTGCGTTTACCCTAATAAGGTAATTTATGGATAAGGTAATATGTCAATGAAGGAAAAACAAGTAAAAATACCAAAAGAGGTCATTTATTCTACATATATATCATCTACAAAGGAAGAGGAAGACTTCCTTTGGAAGGAAGGAAGACATTACTGTTAGTAATGGATGAGCACACTCTGCATGCTTCAAAAGTAATAAAATTGAGTTTTATTTTAAGTGTCCTGGATAACCCCATTCCCAGGGTTGGTTCAGGAGGTTTTTATTTTGCATCTGACATCTTACAAATATCATAAGAAATTTTTTCAAAGATGCCATACAATAGCCCTTGCAAGTACCGTAAAATGGGGTAACTTTGACAACTTCTTTTTTCAAAATGATGCCATTTTTTACTAGATAAGTTAAACTTGAATTGAAACATGCAAAATACAGGTCTACTCTAGCTTTACTCACCATAAATTGCTGGCTCCTGCCTCTCATAGTTTTGATGTAATTTAAAAAAAGTGATTGTCTTTGTTACCCCAGCTTTTGGGGTTTCTTTGACTGGGTGGTAAAATCAATTTTATTTTTTGGTAAAATAACTCCAAAATAACTCCAGGTTGTGGTGCATTGTAGTAGAACTCTTCTAGTAACATATGCAAAAGACAAATTTTAGGAAAGCGTCATAGTCTGCAAATGGGGGGCGCTGCACCCCAATGGGCAAAATGTGACCACCTAATGGCAGCTGTGATGGGGTAACATTGACCAGTTTGGAAATTAAGTTAAAATTACCATATATAAGACTCTGTAAAGTCTGAAAAAAATAGGTGTATCAAACATAAAATATGTTATATAGGTACCTATGGTAATTTGAACTTAATTTCCAAGCCGGTCAATGTTACCCCATCACGGCTGCCATAAGGTGGTCAAAGTTCCCCCATTTGCAAACTATGACCTTTTCCTAAAATTTGTCTTTTGCATATGTAACTAGAAGAGTTCTACTACAATGCATCCAAACCTGGAGTTATTTTACAAAAAATAAAAAAAAAAATTGGAGGGGGTACTCCGACAGGCTTTAAATAATAGCTCTTTTTTGTGGGTCACATTATTAATTTTTTAACCTATTAGATATGCAAAATTTTTAAATCTTTCTATTGTGTTACGTAGCCTCAGTATTAGGCCTTTGATGGCCATTGACAAAATTTTTCTATCAAATAGTTTTTGAGTTTTGGGGGTTTTTGTTAAAAAAACGAAAAGTGGTCAAAGTTACCCTTCCGGTCAAAGTAACCCCATTTTACAGTACCTTCAAAATGAGCTTAAACTCATCTATGAAAGGTTTAATGGTTAGAAGTTATTGAGGAAAAATGCTCAAAACCGTCCCTTATTACCCCCTTTGACAGAATGCATTTTCCACAATTTTGCATGTCGAAGGAGTAATTAGTTGTTGAATAATCTAGAAAATACCTACATTAATTATGGAAAAAATAATCAAGTTGACTTCAAACTAATACATTCCAATGTAAATGGTGACTATTTAAATTCAATTTAATTCAAAATCATTAGGCTGCATTAATTCAATGAAGAGATAGTGCTAATTCTGTCTTCTAGTAAAATGAAAAAAAATATAACTTGGTACTCACTGCATTGAGTGACAGGAAGCACATTTTTTCATCAACAAAAATGTGGAGTCATGGACAGACAGACGGACATGGCGAGCACAATACGGTAGTAGCACTTTTTTTCCAGAAATGAGAAAATGTGCTGTAAAGTGTCAATTTGTTTGTCTGAGTCAAAACATCCATATATTTTTGTTGTCATAGTCAAAACATCTAAAAGCATATTTTAGTTTTTGGGCATGCCTGGCATGGTATGGGGTGATGCTATGCATGGAACAATGGTCAGATATATTGGTGGCATGATAATGTAGCCTCAAACACAAACCGGTTATGTACCTATTTGAAGTGACCATGTATTGTCACTTAATCCTTGAAGGGTTTATGAGTATTTCTACAGTTCAAAAGTTATTGTGATGGTGGGGAAGTGGACTTGTTATAGGGACTGTCATTTCTCATATCTAATCAGCTGCAACAAAACCATCTTTGCTCCTTAGCAAAGGTATATTATATTAATAATTTGATCCTGTTTGTTGTATGATTTCATCTACCCTAGATCATTTCTGATGGGAAAAGTTGCACCTTTTTGAGCAAAAACAGTATATAAATTCATTTTAAATATACTACCATAGTCCTTCCTATTTTTGCTATAATTGTGATTGTCATAGTACCAGTACTGCTCGTCTGATATTAAACTTACCAGTAATGTCTGCTTCATTTCCAGGTACTGCTTCACTAACAGTGAAAATGCCAATGATCAAACTAGATGTTTATATATAGAAGCATAGCTTATTTCATGCCCTAGAGACCATGACAGTGGAAGACAAGTCTGAGGGCTCGTCAGAAGGTGGCTCAAGTGGCCGTAGCAGTAGCAGCGCCACCACATCCTCCTCGTCAAGGCACCGAAGAAGTAGCTTCAGTTATCGCAACAGTTACTCCAGCGATGCCATCTCGTGGCTGGCACTCACAGGAGTGCCAAATGTCCGCTCCAAAGTTGGGCTCTACATCCGTGATGGTTCCAGACTCAGGAGTGATTTCCAGGCTCTCTATAGAATCGCTGATGGCAAAAAGTGGGTTTTGAAATTCCATATTGTGTGTGAAATATGTTGAGCTGTTGTTAAGAGAATGTTTTATTATCTCCACAATTGTTTTTTCTAATTTCTGTAATTATTTTATTAGAACATTATTAGAAATTTAAGTTCTAGGATTTGGAAAATGTTTTTAAACGACCACTAAAACAGGGTAAATATGGGCGAGTTTTTAATACTATTGATTTATGTAATATGATTAAAAATTTTCATATTGACTGATTCATATTATTACAAATTTGTTCTCAAAACACAATATCTTTCCTGATTAATTGTATTGCATCATGCTGTAGTGATGTGTTTCAGTTTCAAATTGAAACTTAGATCTTTCCATTATGGATTACATTGCAGTATTTATGGTAATGAGGGTAATGAATTTTAAATATAAAGTCTAATCAATCATTAATTTTATCCTCGGCTGAAAAACTTTATTAATGTCTGTCCAAGTTTGGATGGTTGATGCAAGTTCTCTATTATGTAGAGACTGAAATTTGACTTCAAATGAAGTATCTCCTTACTAACTTGCAGGATACTGGAATGTCTTGGGATGTGCTGGCTCAGGATTAAACGTTTTTAATCTGTTTTTCATTCAGAATACCATATTGGCTGATAATCTTTCTTACTGTCACGTTTTCTTTTTCTGTGGGAATTAAAACCTCAAAAGCTTTGCCCGAATGTTTGACGTTTTCGCGCACGTCTTTCACTTTTTATTACTCCTTCAAACTCGACGGTCGGGACAGAAGAATTAGCTTTTGTACTGAATCAAGAAAAGATATCATAGGCATTTGTGTTTTTATCTGAAAATTTAGTAGTTCATCAAATATCGAATCATTCAATCGTATCAAATCGAAAATGTATTTACGTTGCTGTTGCATTATACAGGTATATGTATACACCTTTTTAATGGGCGGAAACTGTAGGGCCGAATACTACAAAATTCTCAAGGCGATCGCAAGTTCTACGATGATAAGGCCATATTTGAGTATAATTCTTTGACTCGTTGCAGGAGGGTTCGGGATCGAAGAAAGTTGCTTCGTAAATTTGAAGTGATGAAGCACATGCGCGACAGAAGAAAAAAGGCAAGTATCTTTCTGTCAAAACTTTTTATTTTAGAGCTTTATGCTTAAGTAGCGGTTCCCAAATTTAAGCGCGCTTAGCAACACTAGCGTGCCAACACTTTCTGGGCAACGAGTCATTTTTCATTATTTCTACATCACAAATGTTTCACTGTCGAACACAATAAAATTTGTAAATAATTTGCACCTGTTGATACACGTCACCCACGTGGGCTCAACGGCCCATTGTTGAATTCAAATTCACTCACCTAATACTGTGCACAAAAATTATTTTCTCACTTGTAGACAAAAAAATCTTGATTCGTTGTTCAGTTGTGCAATGAATATTTCACCGGGTATTCGCACCGCAGAACCTTAAAAACTCCGCCATTGTCAGAGCCTAAGGCACTAGGCTAACTATAACGCATTGTACTGCGCTGGAGCGCCCGATCTTATCACAAAACTCATGTTCCTCAAAGCGTATTTGCATCCTGCTGCTTTGAGAACTCGATCCATATCAATGTTCTCGAACTAAAGAAGCTTGCGGTCCTGGCGATCCGTCATTGCGCTTATGTCAGTCTCCGTGACGCGTGAGAATTTGTGTCTTCTGCTAATGCAATCGACTTGTTCGCCTATTGTTTCCCTTTAATTCGGGATTTTAGTACGAAAATATTCGTTAATTACTAGGAGTGTATTTGCTGTAGTTATTGGTCTAGATTTATAAGTTTGAACATGGCCTCATCAGTTAATTTGAATGACGCCATGGAGGAAAGCATAGACAACGTACAAAACGACTCCTACAAAGAAGCTCTGGATGTTCTGAGAGCCGTGCAAGACGCCTCGCTTAAGCATCTACAAACGATTCATTTGAAGCCGTCGTCTGTGTTGACAAGACGGCGGCGCGCGTCGTTCATATCTGTTCCGTTCAACCGTCGCCAGGAACTGACAGTGAACCGAGGCAGATGGCCGGTTTTCTGCGACATACCTGAAGATGGAACGATTGGAAACTCCACACTCGTACGTCGTCATTCACATGCGTGTGTTGGTGCTATGGAAGCCCATGTGCTTTCTGGTATTGATCACTTAAGTAATAAGCAGAAAAGCCACCGTTTAATTCGTGACGACTTTCGTGGAGATCTTCTTGGCCTGCAACCGAGCGCAGTCGAGGCTCGCTCTTGTTTCAATAACACTGGCGATGAGCCGAAGCAATCCTTGTCTGTATTTTGTTCGAGCTCTATTGCTAGTTCGTCAGATGATATCCTTTTATTCAGTAGTCATGCTTCACGTGCTCAGTTACTGCAGGAACGAAGTCAGTTCCGCGAGAAGACGAATTCTCTTGGGCTCCAGGAAGCCAAAGAAAGTATTCCTGAGACGTCTCAGTCGTCGATGCCGGTACGATCAGTCTCATTTTCGTCCTCTGAAGATGGAAGTCTCCCGTCAAAGCATCTGATGTCCCGATCTCTTTCTCTGGATGAAATCGCCTCGAGAGATGCGGCCAAGAGTGGCCGAATAAGGCGTCCCCCCGTCTTCGAACCGCCTAAGTATGAGAACCTAGCCTTGGACGACGATGTCATCGGGCGACATTGCTTAGACGCAAATCAATTCTCAACCTACCCAAAACAGTTAATAGAACTGTCTAAAAAATTTTCAACTGCAGCTGAGGTAATAAAGCCATCAAAAATACTGCCGTGTTGCTTCTCTGATGTCTGCTACTCTTTCATCCTTGCGGGGAACTGTTCAGCGAGCATATCTTTGATGGAGCAGTCGGAAGAACCGCTCCACGCAATTGCTATCATTATAGAAGACCTTCCAGAGACGGTATGTCTTTCATGCACGCGGATCAGGATCTTGTTCATGCTACACTTATAGATTCTTCACCTTATTAAATTGTACGAATGATGAGTTTCTTGAATTTCCAAGATTATCAGTCTACTCTGGAAAAATTTCGCTGCTCTTACTCGTTTCCATGCCGCTGTTCCAATTCATAATTTGTTTGCCAGGTGAAGAAACTAGTGTATTTCAATAGGTTTCGGTGTGTTTATCATTTTTTTAGCAGTGTACTTGATAGAGTGATGATACATATCGTATTTTAATTCTTTAAATTTTGTAATTCCAGGTGCAGGGCGACGTGAAGAACGAGGCGCTGGCAGGGGGGTGTGCGACAGGCCCGCCCTCAGCTGTCCCTGCGACGCCTCGTGTCGAGGTCGACGCCAACCCTTCCTCCTTCGCCACCTACGCCAGCGTCAGGTTAGAGGTTCCTGCATACCAACGACCTGTAAAAAAAACCTTACTTGTTAACAATGTCGATAGCATGTGTTGCACTGATACGCCTTTTAGCTGAGCAATACTAGGTCAGGATGACACACACACAAGTGAAAATACCTCACTAATTGTTGTGAGTGCAATGTATTATTGTTGTACAGGTCGTTAGTGCTGCGTGACGCCGCACGTCAGGCTCAGGTCATCTACCAGTCCACCAGCCAGGCCCCGCCCTCTGACTCTGACAGCGAGGACGACAGCGTCCAGGCGTCCATGATCAACGTCCTGCCGCTGCCTAAGGTCAACTGCAGCTCATTATTCTTGAGGCTCACAGAACTTTTTTATTCATTCAATTGATTATTCTTCTTAAAAGCACACATGACAATATTTCTGTATTTACTCAATTACTCAGGTTTGCTTGATCATATGCTTCTTGTGTCGCACCCACTATTTTATCAACTTAATTACAACTTAATTATTATTTTTTTTGTTCAGCTGCTTGTCAATAATGCAGCGGCTGAATAATACTTGCCAAGGTTTATTATAGAATAGCATTTTACGCTCCCGGAAATGGTAAAAAATGGAGCTCTCAACTGGTGTGAGAGACGAAAAGAATTTATTATCAGGTGCTAGAAATTTGATACATTGGTCGAACAATCATGAAGTATTTAAAACAATTCATTACCATGTTCTTTCTAAGCTTTTCACTTATTGTTTAGATGGTTTACGTAGGCCTAATGTAATTTGAATTCCCCATTGTTCAGATGGTTGGCGTATATGACTAATGTAATTACAAGCCCTCATTGTTCAGATGGTCGGCGTAGGCCTGGTGAGTGTCTACGAGTTGATACAAGGCTCGGTGTCAGCGTACCCAGCGCTGTGCATCAGGGCGCTCGAGGCGCTGCTGGACATCTTGCAGGGCCAGCAGCCTGAGGCTCTCAGGAACGAGCCCGCGCATGTCATTGGTAACTAGAACACCAAATTTGTATTTATTTTCAGAATAAACGTTACTTTGCACATCATTGGCGACTAGAGTAACTAAAATAACATGTTGTATATATTTTATACCTTAGCGTTGAATATGATACGTTTTCAATTACGGTACCTGCTGATGGGCATTGCTTATGTTCGGTCTGATGACTTCGTTATTATTAATTAGCAATCCTCTTCAAGACAAGCACACCAATACGTGTTACTGCCTCGAGTATTTCGTAAATAAGATGTGTACAATAAATTTATGGTGGGGTTTAATATTCTGTACCGCACGTGCTAGCCGGAAAATCGTCATTACTCATGCTTGATATAATTTTTAGTTAACATCTAACTTTTCTTTCACGGTTTTTATAATTTTTACGGTCCTTTCGCTAGTTTTGTAAGTTAATGCGTGTTCGTTAATTAACTACAGACGCGCTGTTCCAACTTCTGCTGCGGTTGTGCACCTCAAGCGGAGGGGGCGGGGGCGGGGACCTTCTGAGCTGGCCCTCAGCCTCCCCCCTCACAGGGGTCGCGTGTGCCTGCCTGCTGGCGCTCGTGGTCGCCAGGGGAGACTCTGCCATGTACCTCCGGGCCGTTACAGACATCCTCATCACGTCCAGACACCTGGCCGTACAGACCATACAGGTGCTGAGGGTGTACAGACCATCCATGTGCTGAGGGTGTACAGACCATACAGGTGCTGAGGGTGTACAGACCATACAGGTGCTGAGGGTGTACAGACCATCCAGGTGCTAAAGGTGCACAGACCATACAGGTGCTGAGGGTGTACAGACCATCCAGGTGCTAAAGGTGTACAGACCATCCAGGTGCTGAGGGTGTACAGACCATACAGGTGCTGAGGGTGTACAGACCATCCAGGTGCTGAGGGTGTACAGACCATCCAGGTGCTGAGGGTGTACAGACCACCCAAGGTGCTCAGTGGTCTGTTAAGGGTGATCTAAATGGATGGTCTGTAAAGCATATGATGTTTTACAGACCATCCAGGTGCTGAAAAGCTATGCATGCGGTGCTGTGCAGACCGTCCTGGTGCTTAGTAGGCGTAATAAGATTAGCAAGGAAGGACTATTGATGTAGTGCTATTCCACGTTACGAGAGAGGAATAACCTTCTAATATATTGCTTAAATATCAGGGCTTTTTGAAATTCGAACGGGAAGTGAAAATGTGATTAGGTATTGGTACTTTTGATTCATCTTAAGCTTTATTTAGGAGGATTGAGGTTCTTGCTGCACGAAATGGATTTTTTAAATTTAAATATACTCTTAGACAAACGTTTCCTGGAAAAGACCCATGAAACCATGCTACAATGCTGCTCCCTACTGACGAAGGATTCCTTGCAGGTGCCTCTGATTTTGACGTACCTGCAACGTAGCGTGCACGCGCTGCTGCTGGGCAAGCTCACGAGGCCTGACTGGATCACAGTGGGCATCCCTCACAAGGCCTGCATCGACACCTTCCCTGTCAGGATGATGACCGGTAAACAATACATGGCTTCTCTTCAAAATCTTCTCTTTGCACAAGGGAAGAGCGTAAATTAAATATAATTATAATGCATGGAAGGTTCACTTGCTTAGTACATGTTTTCTCTCGTAACTATACACATACAGAGGTTAAATTTTTGTTTAACGCACGATTTGAGAAGACTATTGTTTACCTGAATCGCGTACTTTACATGTAAGGTTTAATCTCATGTTACATGCTCACCTCCTACCCTTACAGAGGGCGGGATGAGCGATGTCGGCTCGACAGCGATGACGTGTGACGGCCACTACCTGTACGTGCACAGCGCGCACGGCATGTTCAAGATCGGCTCAGGGTTCGGCGGGACCAGGAAAGGCCACGTCTACATGCACAGGCCCGACTGCTTCCCCAGACAAACCGGGTGGCTTGGCTTCGCTAACGTGCGTCGTGGCGTAGCAGTACTGGCGATATTAGCGTTTGGTTATAATTGGAATATAAGTGTCGTCATGTAATATTGTTGGATCAAACATACTATAATTAGATTAGATGTTGAAAAATGCCACAAGGGATTAGCTTTATTTATTACAATTTTCAGTTCGATAATATGGTATTATAAATTTACTCAATGTTGGGTCCCAATTTATGAACATAATAAGCTTGCTTTTAATCACATTTATAATCGCATTTTTTGCTTTGCTCACTTTTTTGCTTTGCCCCAATCACCTAATTGCACTCCCCCCCCCCCATGCCCGAAGTCCTACTACCTCCTCACCCCACTGTTCCCCCGCAGGGCGACGTGTACTACCGGCCAGAAGGCAGCGGGCGCGAGCTCATGACACTGGACCGCGAGTCCCTGAAGATCTCAGAGGTGCACCAGACCAGCGGCTTTGGGTGGTCCAGGGGCGCCCCCTTCAGTGATGGCCAGTACATCGGCTACATCCTCCCCGACAGAGAGGTGATAACTTCTCCTTGTATTGAATACATTTAATGATTTCTCTGTAATATGTTCTTAGCGGACACATTCACGGGACATGAATCTGGCCTCAAAAGATAATCTTGCTGCCTAAAATGTAATGAAAGCTGTGTGGTCTTAGAACGAAAGTCTTTGATGATGTAATTTACGAGCTACTGGAAGCTAAATTTTCAATGACCTCTTCTTTTGGCCTCTATTCTCGTCTGAAAATTTAAATTTGCCTCATGTTTTCGTTATTTTAGTCAAGATCTCAAGAGCTTATCTGAATTATTCCGTAATTATCTATATGTGTGCGAGAAATTCATGTTTAAAGAGGACATAATTCTTTAGGACGGGTTCGTGGTTCGCTCCTACAACCCCGTGGTGAAGCCCATCCCCCTGGTGAACGAACTCAGCCTCGGCCTTGCCGTGAGATGTGTTCAGGTGAGACGTCACTCAGAGAAATGAGAGAGACTTGGTCCAAATTGTCATGTACATAATGCCTTCGCGTGGGTCTTTCTGGTCTCTGTTTACGTCCTTTATGCCCGTGTAAAGTCAAATATTTGTGCCACTATTTGTACAATATGACGCATTCATTTGCCTCTGCTCCCATTGTCTGTTAAGCATACATCATAATTATGTGACACGCACTGCTGACGCATTAGTTATTTGAGTAGTGGTAACTACATAATTGCAGCTATATTCTCAAAATAATTGCATGCATCTAAATAGACATTTCATTTGTTCAGGTTGAAGAGTTTAACTGAAATTTATACAGCCATTGTCTCAAAAACATTTACGCTGTTGATTGAATCTAAAGACATTTCATTTGTGCAGGTTTTCGGTAACAACGAAGCGCCCCGCGAGCTGGGATCGGGCGTGGACGACGAGGTCGTGTGCGTGGCGGCTGGCAAGGACTTCACTATCCTGTGCACCTCCTCCGGCAGGGTGAGGGGCAGGGCGAGGAAGGGGCGGGGCGGGGAATGGGTGAGGGGCGTGGCGGAGAAAAAGGCTGAGCAGTGAGGGGTAGGGGCGAGGTCAGGAGCTGGACAAGGTGAGGGAAGGGGTGGAGAAGGGCGAAGGAGTGGGCAGGTTGAGGGGCTGGGCAGGATTAGAGTCTGAACATGACGAGGTGTTGTTCAAAGTTTGGTGTTTGTCATAGCGATGGGCTGGAATGTGCAGGATGACGGACTGATCAGGCCATGTTTTTGGACGGGGTGAAGTTAAATGCCTAACACTACCTGTTTTACAGCGGCGTATTCTCCATTCCATAGCTGGTAATTCCCCGTTTTGCAGCTGCATTACAGCGGCAAGGCGTCAGCTGTGGGCCTGAAGAATACCAGCAACGTGATGACCAACAACGGCGGTGTTGCCGCTGCTGCTGCGGCTGTCGTCAACAACGTTGTTCCTACGCTCTTGTCTGCCAATGCTGCAGCTGCCTCAGCAGCTCCCAATGATAAGGAAGCTCTGCAAAATAATTCTGCTCAAGCTGCAACTGCAAATACCGCCTCGTCAAAAACGTGAGCAATTATGTTGAAATTTTCGACCTCTATATATGATTTTGCTTTTTAGATTTTGATTGGTTTGAAAAAATATTGTTCACTTAATGCAGGAATTGATCCCGAAATGAATCACGTAAATTGTTTCAAGAGCTTCATCCAAAATCATTACGTGTCTCAGATAATCCTCAATTAAGAATTCATCAGCCTATGCCAGGTGTATGGCTCAATTTATTATCGCCAGCAGTCTAGTTTACTTTGATACACCGGCTTTTGATATGGCATGGAGAATGTGTCACTTCAATACACTCGCTTACTCTCAATATGGCATGGATTTTAGTGAATGTTCCAATTGAATTCACCGGTTCACACAACCAAACACAAACATGGCAAGGATGTAAGATAATTTATTGCAGGTGTCGGTGGCCGGAGCTGGTGGTGTGCAAGCGGCCGACGATCGTGACGGTATGCGTGGGGCACGAGGGCCACCACGCCTTGCTGCTGTCCGACGACGGCGGGGCATACTTCGTGGGCACCGCCAGGCGCGGCGAGGACGCCGACCCTGGTTAGGGCATGACTCGTTACTGTCAGGGCATGACCCATTACTGTCAGGGCATGACCCGTTACTGTCAGGGCATGACCTGTTACTGTCAGCGCATGACCCGCTACTGTCAGGGCATGACCCATTACTGTCAGGGCATGACCCAGTGCCCTTTTTAGCCATCCATTATGATCCATATACTGTTATTGTTAGTAGGCTAATTGCAACATAAAAAATAACACCTCAAAAAAGACAAAAAAGCTGAAAAAATAAAAAAAAATCAAATAAATAAAAAAAAATCATGAAAAAATCAAAAAAAAATCATTGATTTTTGATTTTTTTGATTTTTTTTTTTTTAAATCAAAAAAATCGCCAACCCTGTTTTAAATGTCCGGAATTTTAAATGATTCCAAAGCCATCATCATACAAGAGAAGAACATTTCGGAGCTAAAAATTTACCATGACTAAGTTAATATTTCAAATAGAGAAACAAATTATTGAATTTATGGTTAAATTTTATATTATTATTTGAAGTTTGAAAGATATATTTCTTTTTCTGCTTTAACGTTTAAAAAAAAGCTTATGTATGGTCGTGTATTTATTGTGCAATGGTTTACAATGGTGAAGAATGATGTGCGAGTGTTGCTGTATCATTAGTTGCAGTGAACAAATGAATATAATAAATAAATAGTATAAAATTATCTAGCAATTTGTTTCTGAACTGGTGTTGTGTTGGACTGCGCAGGGAAGTTCCGACGCCAGCCTAAAGCTGTGAAGCCAAAGCGCATGAGCAAGATGGAGGACCAGCACGTGGTGGCGGCGGCCTGCAACCACGCCACCAGCGCCCTCGTCACCAAGCGCGGCCAGCTCTTCTTGTTTGGCAAGGATACCGCGCACGCTGACCCTGCTACTGGTGCGTGCTCTTATCTAGATTATCTGCCTTCCTTTTTGATCGTGTGAGTATTTTATCGCTCTTATTAATCATCACCAAGATAAGTAATCAACTTGGTATATTCATGCGACATGCTAAGGCCTGTATTACAATGGCGAGGATGCTTTGGTGGTCAAAAAAATTGCGAGTTTTCACATTTTTGATGAGTTTAGGTTAATTTGTGGACTGTGGTTGAATACTATAGTTGTGGTATTAGAACAAGTTAATTAGGTTTATTTCAGTTCTGTGGTTTATTCTTTTTATCCTAATAATGAATCTGGTGTTAAACTGTGTGCCTGTTCGTGCAGGTTTAGTGAGTGACCTGAAGGAGGCGCACATCGAGAGTGTGAGTCTGGGCAAGGCACATGCCGTGGCCGTGACCAACAAGGGCCTCGTCTACACCTTCGGTATCAACAACAAGGGCCAGTGTGGCCGCGACTTCAATTCCGCACTTAATGGAAAAGATCTCGCACCTGGTGAGAGCTGCTGTATTTAATTGAGCATTAAATTACCTAGTGTTCTTCTCTATACTTGTTAAAACTCACAACACTTTTTGTAAGTCGCGACGTATTAATTATGGCCTGTATGGTCCACTATGGTGCTTGTCACTTAATCGCGAGCTGGGTGTGCTTTGTGGGACTATTAAGCTCTATCGTATTAATGCTTCCATTCAAGCTCTCGGAAACCTCCTGTTCTGGTGAGTTTCAATCAATACTCAGGGTCCAAATGTTACAATAAGCAGCTTGGGACCTTGTGAAGCTTTTTGGCTTATTTACCTGCAGCGCTCGTGGTGTGGTGTCCGACTTTCTAACTCTCAGCGAATATATAAAGTTCTTTGACGCCCACAGCAAACGGTAAGCTCTTCCAGTCAAGACCTCTGATGTACAGTGGGGGGAAATAAATATTCGTACACTTGAAAAAATCGTATTTTAATGTATGTAAGTACACAAACTTAACAGGAAAAGTGATTTAAATTATGTATAGAGACGCATAGTATTCAAAAATACTATCAAAAGAAATTAAATCTCAATGCAACAAAAAAATTTCTTTTGATAGTATTTTTGAATACTATGCGTCTCTATACATAATTTAAATCACTTTTCCTGTTAAGTTTGTGTACTTACATACATTAAAATACGATTTTTCAAGTGTACGAATATTTATTTCCCCCCACTGTATATAACACGACACCAGACTCTACAACCGTTATAGATGCACGTAACAAATTCAAGATAATCATCTCGCGTCCGTAATCCACGAACTTCTGACGAGTCTGGTGTTTATAAGACGGTTATCATTTGTCTCGTATCATCCATTGGAATTGCTTGCCTGCTTGCCTCACACACGATCTTTTGATCCTTATGTTACTCACGAATTTTTTATATTTATGTTACTCACGAATTTTTATCCTTGTGTTACTCACGAATTTTTTATCCCTGTTTCTGTAGACGTTAAAGTCCTCATACGATTCCAGCTGCCTGTTCAACCTTCTGTTACCGCTCGTTATCGTTCGTTTTGTTTTGATCTTTACTGATCTTCTTTTTCTTTATATTCTTATATATTCCTCTGAATTTTGACCCGAAGGATCTATCAATCGGTTTACTTGCTTTAGTTTATTATCTTCTGGTTATCTTATAGGTTGGTTATATTATCTTCCCAACCTATGAAACTTATTCTATTTCTCATGTTTTTCACAGCACTTGAAATTTATTCGTAATTATCCTGGTAATTATAATTATTATCTTGCATTTTGCTCATAATATAGTTTGAAGAGAATTGATCACATGAAAATAGAAGCGTCTTCTCTGAATTGCAACGCAGCCTTTTGCTTGTCAATGAAAAACAACAGAATTGGGATTTTTTTAACTCGCTCAAATTTGAGGGGATGTAAAAAAGTGCTGATGTTTAATTCATCTCATGATCATAATTATCTCTCTGTACTATTTTCCTGCAACATTTTTTACACTTTATTTTTTAACTTTTATTTTGTGATGTTGTTGCCTCTTCCACTTACAGTCCACTCTCCTTGCTGTATAACCAACAATTCAATTATTCTGTTTGAATATCACAGATTTTATTCTACAGTACCATAGTAGCATACTGTAATTTCTGACCTGCAACAGTCCCGATCACTTCAATCTAATTAATAATATGAAATTAAAAATTTATTTTTAAAGACAACGCATCTAAAGAATCCAGTGTCTCCTATGCTACACATGTACGAAAAATTTCTAATTTTATTTTCAAATATAAAAAAGTTTAAATTTTTTAATCTATGAAAAAAATTAAAGTTTCAAAATTATTTATTCTGTCAATTGATTCATGCATTGTCTCCAAATTTACGCAAGTGTGCAAAACTTTGGATTTATTGGAGAGGAAGAAATGTGTTAGATATCAATTATAAGATTTGTAGCAGTCAAACACACAAACAAACAATGTTGTAATAATATACACTTAAAAGTTACTTTTTAAAGACAACACTTCTGAACAATCCAGTGACATGGATGTTACACATGTACAATGAATTTCTAATTTATTCTGTCAATTGATTCATGCATTGTCTCTCACTTTATGCAATTGTGCAAAATTTCAGATCAATTGGACAGGTCAAATTGTGTCATATATGGATTATAAGATTTGTAGCAGACGAAATTATTTTTTAATTTTTTTAATAATGAAAAAAAAATTGTTTCATTTAAAAAATTATTTATTCTGTAAATTGATTCATGCATTGTCTTCAACTTTACGCAAGTGTGCAAAATTTCAGATCGATTGGACTGGTAGAAGTGTGTTAAATATCGATTATAAGATTTGTAGCAGACAGACAGACAGACAAACAAACAAGAAGTGAAGTTAAAGAGAAGTCTTGTAAAAAGTACTCCGTATTTGAAGCTAATTTCGTCACTTATAATTTCTCCTTTTCCACCTATTCGACACCCGATTTGTTTTTGCCAAGAATAGAGCTGGAAATTGGAGGTCTTGTAATTCAGCCTTAAGTAGGATTCCTTTCAACAACTGCAGATTCTGTGTGTTATTAGACCAAAAACTAAATGTGTTTCACTCAGAGATATGAGAATGTTGATTCTTCCCTTAGGTGTTTGTGTACGTGTCTATCAATACTAAACGCATCAATGTATCTGAGGGTTGCAATTCTGATTAAAAGTTATTTTTTAGCGGTACTATTATAGATTTAAATTTATTAGTTATCCCCAACCTCTGAATTTACATTGCTTATTTGATTTAAGTACTAGTAAAGTTGACTTTATTTCAGTTGTTTTTGTATATTATAGATGGTGTATTGATAGCTTTACCATGTCACAAATTGCGGATTGCAATCATTACCTAGTGTTGGTAGAATTTTTGTTTAGTTTGTACGCATTAATATAAAGATCCTCGATTCTTCCTAAAAGCAAAATTCCATAGATATTCAAACTTAAGCATTTGCACTTCGGTTGCACTGCCCTAGTTTTGCAATTTTTTAATTATTTTTTCTTATATATTCCTTCTTTAAAATTGATATTTTCTGTTTATGTGTATTTTATTTACATTACCAAGGTACTTGTCCATTGTTGTTGATCACCTTCCGAACATTAGCTGTGCATCTCAGTGTCTCCTCACCCTTTGTTTACATTCCACATTAATTCATTCATCGTTAGACGGACTTCCAGGAAATTTAAGTCAATTTCTGATTCACACTCATCCCTAAACCCGGTGGCTTGGCAGTGTATCTGAGCAACGAAGTATCCACTGACGATGACAAGGACGACAAGAAGAATTGCTCTGAGAACAGCCCCTCTCTTCCTCCCAAGCTAAGAATAAAGACAAAAGCTAGAATCAAAATCTACCAGCGTTCCCATCTGCCTGACCGGCACGGTGAGTCTGTCTAGGTATAAAAAGAACCTCAAAAGAGTTCAGTTCATTTGGGGACCTCCAAAAGAATCATTTTTATTTGTTTAATTTCACTGCAAAGTCCCGTCTTGTAAAAGAGACGATCAGCGTGACCCGCGAGGTTGGTTAGGATTCAGGATTTTTCTATTAATTTAGTTAGAAAATGTAGCATTCCATTTTATGTTAATAAATATATAGACTTTCAGTTGTTCATTTCACGAATATTCTTAACCTCTTACATTAATTACTCGTTTATTCTTAAGAAGTTTATGATTCTGGAAGTTGTAGTAGTTACGGGAGCGTTAATGCTAGAGCTTACCTTACGTTATACATCCGTATTCCTTGTATTTGCAAGCGCATTTTTTTACATGCAATTGAACATGCGAGGCTCTGATCATCGAATATTATTTTGAAGATAAACAATACAAACATTTCTTGGTCCTAGGGGCGTCTGCTGTAGCGGCTGCTGGAGACGAAGACGGGGACGACGAAGAATGTGGCGGCGACAGCGACGATGGCGGGGATCCCGCCGCTGCTGCTGCGGTAGCTGGTGGTGGTGCTGGCGCCGCTATGCCGCCTAATGGCGGGGTTGGCGGTATCGGTGGTTTTGGGCTTTGTTTCCGAGGCCGGCATCGGTTTTACCGCGACCATTGCATGATCTGCTACTTCTGCCATGACTGCACGGGATATGGCGCCTCCTGTGTCTCCAGCAACCGCCCCAACAGAGTGCCTGGACAGTACGTTCTACATCTAACATTCTGGGGCTATATTCATCCAGTTTTTGAAAATTATCATTTTGTATTAGAGTAATGAGCCGATATACATTTTAATTCGATTGGTTGAAGTGATGCTTTGGACTGCAATTAAGTCCATGATTCAATCATCGCTGATAATTTCTTTTTTCCTGATTCTTTTCTTTCTTTTCCTGATCATTTATTAAAGATATAATGGAATTTAACTGGGAAAAATATATTAATATATCTTTACCAGTTTTTTGTGGTGAATTGCAGAGCCTGCGGCTGCGGTTCAGGAGACTCTGGATGCTCGGAGTGCGGATGTTGCCGCACTTGTGCCGAGGACTCGCTGGACGAGCGCGAGCTGGGAGTGCCTGGCGTCATGAATATCGGCGTCTTTAAGATGAATAACGGCGAGCATGACAGAGGTGACTTGTGCAAGACATCAAGCAACGCGAAATTCATGGCTCAGTACACAAGACAATTTAATTACTTAGCAAATAAAGCGACGAGTAACATGGTACTGAGATCCACTGACGTTTGTGTGGCTAGGCTAAAGATTTTCGTTCGGTTATTTCAGTTGTAGGTTTATAGCTACACTAGGTTAATGTTATTAGTCATAGGTTAATGTTAAAATTAAAAATTGAGACAAGAAGGTTGTTTGCTGTTTGTTTAAATTGCTTCCATCAAATTGCATGTGCAAGTTCGAGCAGATGAATCCAAATTTCGACCAAATTTGTATAACTTTTGATAGAAACACATGAACGGAAGGACGTTCAGAGGTTGCAGTTGCCTAATCCTGTCCGATTATTATTGAGTGTTCCGCAACTCCGAGTGTGCCTGAGTCCCCTGAGACCCAGGATTGTCAGGCTTTCCGCAACAATTTGTGCCTGAGACCCATGATTATTATGTACTCCAAAACCTCCTGTGTCTGAGACTGAGCATCTTGTAACAGACGAGGATGACGAAGGCGGCGGGGTGTTAGGAGGACGTGGCGGTCTTGAGAGAGGCAGGCTGCAGAAGGAGTTGATGCGACGTTTGGAAGTCATCAGGCATCACAACAAACGAGACCACGAACACAGACAACTCCGACAGCCTCTCATGCCACCGCTGCCTGTGCAGGCTAAGAAACGTGAGTCTGGGGATGGTGAAGAAATGCTTCTTGTTTTCCCGAAGAAAATATTGGATTCGGTTTGTAGGTTTAAGATTTTGGTTTAAGAAGTGAAAGGTTGTTCCTGTCTGCAAAAAATGGTTTTGATGGTTTACGTTGTACAATAATGACCGTTTAAAAATTGAGTGAATATGAGAGCGAGAAAAATAATGGAGAATTTGTGATTCAATTTCAATAGAATTTGCATTTAATTCTTCTGCTTACTTGAAGTCTCAAACGGCAAGAGAAATTTAAAATAGATTAGGGATTTTTCAATCGCATTTTTTTATTACATCGTTAGTAGTAGTAGTAATTATGTAGTAACCTACGCTACTTTAACAACGTAGAGCTTTAACGGGTCAATGAGCTTAACTAATGAGCCCAAACTCTAGAATTGTTGCCTCCTTAACAGCTGCTGCAGAGGAGGACCGCGCCCTTGCGGGCACGGGGTCCTCCCCCCCAGCAGCGGGTGGCGGGGGCGGTGAGCGGGATGGCGGCGGGAAGATGTGCTCGTTACCGCCCGCTCAGCTGCTCATGCCCACCGCGTCGCCTGTGGTGCAGGTCGCCTGTGGCCAGCACCACACAGGTACGTTGCAACACATTCAATTTTATGGTTCTATTCTATTTATATTTTTTATACATTTCTATGTATGCGCTTCAATTTTATTTGACCAATACCGTGCGTTGACATTTTTACGTTCTGATTTCAGTAGATTTAGAAATGAAATAATTTCTGTAAGATGTATAGTGCAGTAATATATCGTCCATTCTATTTGAAAACTGATTTAACTCATATTTTTTATATAAAATTTGAATCATCTGCTAAATTCGATTCATTATCAATTGCCCTCAGTTATTCACTTAACTAACCATACAATTGAGGCATTAATTTTATCATTGTAATTTACTTGGTAAACACTCACCCTGTGTATGGTGTACAGTGGCGCTGTGCAGTAACGGCGAGGTGTACAGCTGGGGCAGCAACAGCCACGGCCAGCTGGGCACCGGCGACCTCATCCCGCAGCCCTGCCCGCAGCTGGTGCGTCTGCCGCCCTCGGTGAGGGTGAGCAGAGTGGCTGCAGGCAGCAACCACACCGTCCTGCTCACCACCACAGGGCAGATCTACACGTGCGGCAGTCATCAGGCAAGTCCTGCTCACCACCACAGGGCAGATCTACACGTGCGGCAGTCATCAGGCAAGCGACAGGTGCCTCAGGCACGTGGCGGTTGACGCAGTTACGCATGCTGGTTACGGTTCGAGCTCTATGAATTAATTTTACATTTACTAGGAACTTCAACCATTTACTAGGAACTTCAACCATAAAAACCATAACTAACCGCTTGTACCATTATTTGTTTAAGATTGTAACTATTGCTCGATCGACAATTGGACTGTAAATTTAGCTGCACTTATTTAAAATCATCCCATATTTTGTGAGTGAATATAAGTTGATTATCTTGTATATTTTCATTGCATGTTTTTTATTCCGTGCATTTGGGCAACAGTTCGAGTTTCTTTAATTTGTGTCTGTTTATTGATAGGCATTACGCGCATTTCATTTTCTATGTGCTTCTAAATTGTCATCAGAAAGGGCAGCTGGGGCGTACGCCGCTCTCCATGGAGTCCGGAGAAGGCAGCCGCAACGGGACCCGGGCCCCGTGGTGGTGTTTGCCGGGCCTCGTGCCTGGAGTTGGGCCCAGACTGGGCCGTAAGGCGACCTGGGTCGGGGCCTCGGCCGACACTACCTTCATCAAACTGGACCAGTCGCTCATCAATGCTCATAACCTCCCCGGCACCGCAGTCGTCGCCAATTCCTCATATTTGGGTCAGCAGAAGGCGAATTCGGTTTTATTCCTAGAAAGAAATTCGGTTCTATTCCTACAATGAAATTATATTTTATTCCTAATCGAAAAACCAGCGGCTTCGCGGCATTCATACAACTTTTTCGAACAAATCTATATTTATTGAAATTTGCCCTTGTCCTATTGAATTGATGTTTGAAGAGCGAGATGATTTTTTTTACCTATTAGTTCAACACGACACTGTGAACAAAACAAAAATTTTCCTTGCTTTTCATTGATGCCAAACCTTATCTATTGATCTTCATGTTCACTATGGTATATATTTTATACTGTCACTAACTCGCGCTTCTTTAATTGGTCAGTTTTATTACCGGTCGGTGAACGGAGCAAGTCTGAAAGTACGGGTGTGGTTGGCGGTTACTCCTCTTCATCATCGTCATCTCCGTCGCACTCAGTGACGTCAACTCGTCATCGATGCTCGAGCTTCACAGCTGCGCGGTACCGAACCACCGAATCAGGTGCAGTGGAGGAACGCAGTAGCAGCTTCAGTGGTTCATTGGGATCCTCGAGACATGCCTTCTCGGACCTCAGCGTTCCTCCTCAAAAGTCCTCATCTACAGACGTCGTGCCCATGTCTCAAAGGCTATGCGGAAACGCCGGTGTCGTGAACACTTTTGGTAGTGGAGGCAATATCGCAGTTGGCGCGAGTATCGCAAGTTTAGGAAAGTGCGTAAATACCGCTGTAGGAAACCTAGGCTTTGGCGGGAGTATAGTCGGTATCGGGAGCAGCGGTAGCTTGTGCCGCGCCGCTGAAGGAGGCACCAGCAGTAGTAACAGCAGCGTCGTTGCGGTTGCTGGTAGCGGTTGTGATAGCAACAGCAGTATTGGTAGTGGTGGTGGCGGTGGTTGTGCAATAGGTGTTACGACTGACGTTGGAAGTGAAAGCGGGGGTGGAAGTGGCGGTGGAGCATCTAAGATCACCACCGAGGACGAGGGCTGGAGGGTGTTGGTCATCAACAGATCTGACGGACAATGTCGAAGCTTCAACAGTCCTGACCAGATACTGTGTCGCGGTCATGCTGTCTGTCTGGACCCCATCTACAATGTTTTATGGAGGTGAGGGTTGACGTTGATGCTTGCCTGTGAATACTGAAGTTTCCCCTTGTTTAATACGGAGTGGAAGATGCTCATGTTTGTTTGGATCTAAATGGTGCTGAACTCTATTTTTCTCATTATTGTTATCTTTGAATGTTGCGCCAATCTATATACTTGACAAAATTTAAGTGTTTCTTAGCGCATTTTCTCATTTATGGAAAAAATGCACTATTGTGCTCGCCATGTCCGTCCGTCCGTCTGTCTGTCCGTCCGTTTGTCCGTGACCTCAAGTTTTCGTCGACGAGAAAATGCGCTCTCTGTCACTCACTGCAGTGAGTACTGAGTTATATTTTTTGTTCTTTCGATAGCCTTATTTTTGCACCTTATCATTAAGTATGTACCTGAAATCTTCTTCTCCCACAGTTACAATCCAGAGCGGCAGCAAGTGAACTGCTATAATTTAATCGCCTCCGAGGCTGTGCGTATGGACACAAGTGTTTGTCCGCCCCCCACGCGGGGGACTGGCTATTATAAGCTCCCCCAACCTCCCACCGTAACTTCACGTCCTTCCTCGGCTGGAGACGACGGTGGACTGAGGGATGTATTGTCTCCAGAGCTCTCACTCCCCGTCCTGCCTGAAGTGCAAGTCTCCAGAGCACAGGTGCGCCAACACTGATATTATTGACAAGAAGTTTTCAATTCTCCTCGAAAATTTCTTGAAACGAAACTTTTTTATAAATTTAAAATTATTTCCAACACTCGTGAGTAACAATATTTATCAACTCTTAATTGTATTGTTGCCGGCGTATCTGCGGGTGATGTCAACCCTATGTGACCTTATGTTTCTCAGGCAACTAACTTAAGTAAACTATTAGCGCAGAGGCCATGAATAAATAACAATGAAGGATAGATGTATGTTGGTGATCAGATTACAAATTTAATAGAACCGGGGAATAAAGGAGCATGGGCAGAAATTACTGTAAAAAAATAAAAAATAGTATAAATATTAAAGTAAAATAACTGAACTATAAACGCAACAAATGGGCATTGGCACATCATAAACAAGACTTTAATTAAGCAAGATAATGAATTGAATATAGCTAACTGATAAATAAACAATAATTCATAATCCGACTAGCCAAATCTAATCATGAACAATCGGTCCTACAACTTACTTAAGCCAGTGACGCCGTACAGGACAAGACCGAATGTTTACACGGATCTTAGAAGTCGATTTCCTTTAACCTAAAATGATCCAAGATAGCCCTAGAGTTACAAAAATATTGATACAAAGTTATTATGAATAAATTATGAATGAGCGGATTTATTTTGCGATAAAAAATCAATAAGTAACCCGGTTACAGTATTTCATTTACATATTCTGTGGGGATTTGAGATCGGCGTTACATTGTTTTATTTGTTTCTTGAGATTGCCCTGCACCTTCTGTCGTGCCTGGACACGCTGACGTGGGGGTACCAGCAGGGCCTCAGCGTGTGTGAGGAAGACCACACGACCACCGCCAGCACCGGCGTCTACACCAAGGACGACTTCACGCCAGTCACGCGTTTCGAGAGTGAGCGTTTGTAGTGATTTTCACTCTTTCGGTTCACTGTCTCGCTTCACTGTCTTGGTTCACTGTCTTGGTTTACTGTCTCGGTTCAGTCTTGTTTACTGTCTCACTTCATTGTCTCTCTTCACTGTCTTGTTTACTGTCTTGGTTCACTGTCTCGCTCATTGACTGAGACTAAGGAATACTAAGGAGTTCACTGTCTCGGTTTCCAATGTCTTAGTTTACTGTCCCATTCTCCCCCTTCATATTTTTGAACCCCATTTACACGAGTCGAGAGGAGTCGTTTGATTTAGGAGGACCGCTTCTTTTTCACACGCATTTACTTAGCGGATAGATTTATAGTTATTTTTATCTGATACATGTTTTGTTAAGTCTTCATGAAGTATGAGGAGATTTATCAACATGATTTCCCCACCAACTTTTTTGTGCACTGTGAAAAAATGGCTCTGTTACCGCAACTACATTTTTCCCTGGTTATCAAGGGGTTTGTAAAAAAGCTAATATTTTTATGGAATTTAATAGTAATTTTTTCAAGCTATTCCTATTCAAGCTAGTAATTAGTGTAATTAAGACGCATGACCTAATGAAAGCACCATGTACAGGCCCAGGAGGAGGCTGGGGCTACTCAGGACATTCTGTGGAGGCGGTGCGCTTCATGTGTGATACCGACGTCCTGCTCGGGGGATACGGCATGTTCGGCGGCAGGGGAGAATATGTCGGCAAAATTAAAGTGAATATATACCTTATAATTATATATATTAAGTGAATATATACTGTATAATTATCGTATGGTAATCATGACGCTCGCTGTTAGATTGATATGTTGATATTAATATGTCGGATTAATATGCCACACAGCTTGATTGGGAGCGATAAAACTGCGAAAAAACTAAAAGAAAAAACTCTTTCTGCCTTTTTAAATTCGGTTTAAATTGAAACTTCAATCTCAGAGTGAAACATACATTAAAATTTTTTAAATCGGATGATGATAAACTTTTCATCACCCGGCTAGCACAAAGCTTCATATTATGATGGCTTTCGTTAATGGACTAATAATTTGTTTGCTTGTTAATTTTCTTGCATAACTTAACTTTGTTTACTAATTGTTGTAAGTTATTACTTGCATTAGGTAAGCGTTTCTTACTGTTATCTAATCTAAGAGACATTGTTGCCTGCCATCATTAGTCTAAGAAAACTTATATTGAAAGTAATTCTAAGTATTCAAGTTTTTCTCACGTTATAATTTACTTTCAATCTAAATAAACCATTTTTTCAAACGGTCAAACGTATGGAGGCTGTTTTTGAAGAGACGACGATTGTGAATCGCTCGTTACAGGTCAGAATGATCCTGAAGCTATTTTCTGGCTTTATTTGAAATGCATGTTCTTGACATGCTTATCCACAATACCAATCATGCAGAAGACGTTACCACTTGGATCGTCACAGTACAGTCGTCACAACAACACTAATATTACCGTAGCACTTGGGTCGCAAGCCTTCAAGAGGATTGAACTATAGCATAAACGCAACGGAATCACAAAGTTCCAGCGAGAATACAACAGCTCATTGTTATTTTATGGTAATCGAAGCATACAAATCATACTTCTGACAATATTATTCTGTTTATTTTTTTTCTGAGCGGCGAGTTGAGTGCGTTATCTGCTGAGTGGCGACTCTTGTGTTATTGACGGTAGCTGGTTCAGCCGTGGTGCATGTGTTAACATGTGTTCATGAGCTAACATGTGTTCAAGAGCTAACATGTGTTCATGAGCTAACATGTGTTCACTTACTAACATGTGTTCATGAGCTAACATGTGTTCATGAGCTAACATGTGTTCACTTACTAACATGTGTTCATGAGCTAACATGTGTTCACTTACTAACATGCGTGTTGACGGCAGTTGTACGACATCGGCTACGAGGGTGGAGAGCAGGAGCAGGAAGGGGAGCTGCTCGCAGAAACTGACGAGATTCCCTACGAGTGTCCCTCGAGGCAGAAGTTCCCTCTCATGTTCGAGGAGCCTATACCAATACAAGTAAGCGTTTCTCCCTTAGGTCTGTATCCGCACGTATCTATATTGTATATATGTAGTTTTCTTTCATGCACTCTATAATAATAAACTACCAACTATGCTAAATCAACTCGTTCAGAAAATTTATAGTCGTTCAAAAATATTATAAATATATTGTCGCAAGATAGTTAATTAATAGGAATACTGCAGTGAAGATGCGCTTCGAAGACTATCAGTCTTTGACTGTAATCATTTGCATTTGCAGTTTGAAGACAGGGACACAATTGAGATTTTTTATATTATGACGTTAGTAGCTGAGAAAAAATGCTTGTTAATAAACCAATGAGTACAAATTATAATTATGATCTAAAGTCTAAATGAAATTCCACAAAGGTTCTATTCGACTCAATCCATCATTTGATGATCGGACGCGATAAAAGGCCATGCAATGATATAAGATAATTGGCAGGCCGGTGGGCGGTACGTGGCCATGCAATCATGTGAGATGATACTAGGACACTCTTGGGAAGGGTGGGTGGTAATACAATATGGTATTTATTTAATTATTGGACAGGCCCGTCGGTGGTACGTGGCGTGGGCGCGCGTGACGGGCCCCAGCAGCGACTGTGGCTCCTCCGGCCAGTCCCTCATAACCACCGACGACCAGTGAGTGGTGCTGGCTTTCTGGTGATGTGATGAGTTAAGGTGCTGGTTAGTGGCTTGATGAGAGGAGATGTGACGAGTTGAGGGACTGGTTAGTGGCTTATGTGAGGTTATGAGACGAGGAGCTGTGAGACTGTTTAGTGGCTTGTGTAAGGTGATGTGATCGGCTCGAGGTATCAGTTAGCTGCAATGTGCGAGGTACCTATTGTCGTGAATTGATAAAGGAAGAGAAGAAGCTGAATAAACTGGTTTTATTTCGGTAAAATACTACCCTTCCAGAGTTTGGTATTTAGTCCCTAAGTCTAATACATCTAGTTATCTAGTGGGTGTTTCTATCCCATGTCTCCCACAGGGTGGTATTCTACTTCAAGTCCTCGAAAAAGTCCAACAACGGCACGGACGTCAACGCTGGCCAGATCCCTCAGCTGCTCTACAGGATCATCTCTGCCGACGGCGGCGCCCAGACCGCCTCGTCTGCCTGCAGCGAACCTCCCGTGCCTCTGCTCTCCAGGGCCTTCTTCACGGGCGTGTCTAATGTGAGGGCGTGTCTAATGTGAGGGCGTGTCTAATGTGAGGGCGTGTGTCTAATGTGAGGGCGTGTCTAATGTGAGGGCGTGTCGAATGTGAGGGCGTGTGTCTGATGTGAGGGCGTGTGCCTGATGTGAGGGCGTGTCTGATGTGAGGGCGTGTGTCTGATGTGAGGGCGTGTGTCTGATGTGAGGGCGTGTGTCTGATGTGAGGGCGTGTGTCTAATGTGAGGGCGTGTGTCTAATGTGAGGGCGTGTGTCTGATGTGAGGGCGTGTGTCTGATGTGAGGGCTTGTCTGATGTGAGGGCATGTCTAATGTGAGGGCGTGTGTCCCGTAACTTCATGTATTCCGGACTTTGTCCCTCCTTAGGGTGCGTACACAGTGAAAGCAGGTTTCCAGCGTGCTGGTTACCTGCTGAGGCTGGCGCCTGAAACAAGCGCGAGAGGGTGTTCACAGAGGAAGCAGGAAACCAGCTGCGACCCTCAGAAACAAACAAATCGAGACTCGATAACCCTCAAACGTTCATAAATAACTTCGTTCGATGTTCCAGAAGATTAAGAAAGATGAATCCTGCAAGCTCTATTGCAATTCTAGTTCATTAAATTATAAAACATCAATGATATCTCACATTCTCCTGCTTTGAAATTTCAGCTTTAATTAACTACTCACTAAATTGAAATTATGTACTTTTTTATCCGAATGCTCTAGAAATAGGGCAATAATTTGGTAACAAATTCTCAACGCTATTATCTTTTTGGTAAAATTTTGACGTTTGGCCGTATTTTGTAAAGGCGCGCAACTCGCAGATAAGTCCCATTTTTGTAAGAATTATAAATTACATATCTTTCATATTTAGGTCCTGTGTTATTTATAATTAACTGTTTTTTTCGTAAACTGGAACTCATTCATCTAAATGGAGTATAGGTATCATATGCGAGATACGATACCTAAAATAAATTAGGCCTTGTACATAAACTCGTTTTTTTGGATTCTTCTTCAAGACAATAATTATGATGTATATCTGTTTAATACAAGTCGATCTCGTGCAAATTATACTAATATGGTTCCCCTGACAACGTAATTTGACTGAATGAATTCGATATCTCCGTGCCCAATTTTTTTTCTTCCATTAAATAAGTCATCAGCAACGCCCGATGCCTCTCGATGCTTATGTCATTACGATGGGATGCTCCCATCATGCCTCTCTATGCTCCAGAAACAAAGAAAATGGAAGGTTTAAAGGTACAACTAATTCAGAAATGACCATATGCCAAGCAGGTTGAGCAGATAAGAATGTGCAGTACATTCCGGTAAATAGGTATAAGCAGGTTGTCGGCAGAAGCCTATTCGTACAGGTTTTCACTGTGAACACTTACATTATTATCCTATGTTCATTCTTGTGGCAGGTTGAAACCATAGCATACAGAAGCCTATTCGTACAGGTTTTCACTGTGAACACTTACATTATTATCCTATGTTCATTCTTGTGGCAGGTTGGAGCAGGTTGTCCGCGCGGGCAAACCTGCTTTCACTGTGTACGTACCCTTAGCTTTGATCGCCGGTCAATTGAAAAGGTATTGAGGTGCTAGAAAAATTGTCCTATGAGTGATTAAAATGATCAGTTTCGTTATTTTTAACTTATTTTTAGAAGCTCTTTGTGAATCCATTGTTTCTGGTTCACTATGTCACCCAGTTAGTTAAGTGATCACATGTTTACTAGCGCTTCAGCTATTTAGCATTCACGCACCGAAAGTCGAGATGAGCATCACCAACAACTGAGAGGTCTCAGTTATCGCCCGTTTTTTCAATCAAAAATCGTTCATCACTCACATGGGAAAAATGGTGGCCAGGCTGCTGTAGAGCTCAAGAAAATGCGGCGTTAGCTTCTCATAGAAACGAACAAGAAGGGAGGACAGGTGAACAGCAAAAGAAATGAAGACACTCGAACGGGACATCGGCCGCTCGCACGAAAGAGACCGAGAAAAGAAATTCACGGAGTCCTACATACATAATAACTTAACCCAACAACTGAGACTCGCAGTCAGATAGTGCGGGCTCAGCGGTGGGGCGCTCAGGAACAATGCCACTAAGAACACGAGATCTCAAAGCATTTCCTACGAGATCAGACACTAGTCAGAAGACCCCTCCTGAGGAGCACTATGTCACTAATGTACGAATGATTTTATTCATGTAAAGTTTAATTTCATACAGCTTGTTTGTAACTAACTCGCAATATTTGCTTGCACCCCTGCAGGATGTGTTCCAATCTCTGCTGGATTTGCTGGGCTGGGCGTGGAGCACGTTACGAACCTGTGTTAGTGAAGTTAGTACAATGCTTTCTATTAATAAATATCAAATTATTGTTTGTAAAACTTGTTCACATGGATGTCATTGTGATGTCAATGATATCTTAGATGTAATAAATTGTAGCTCGACACGTTAATGTGTGTCTAACTTTTTTGTATGCTGATACATCATATTCATGTATTTTGTATAGACCGGAACCTTCGTATCATGAAGCTCATGACTTCGTAAGTTATATTCAGTTCGTATCACTTTTAATTTAACCTCGAAATTATTTTCACAAAGTAACTTTTTGTAGATGATAATAATGCGAAAATCAGTCAGTTAAAAATCCTATGAAAGTGTCTTGATTTAATCCTAATAGGTAATCCTACTTGCATACTTGCAGCCTAAATCCATGATAATATTTAAAATTTGTCGTAACTAGTTATAATAATGAGGATTTACTAGAAGGATCAAGGGCTTTATTTACTGAACTTTATTATGTGTATGCCAAGGTTGGTTCTGGTGAAGGCGGTGACGACGGCGACACCGGGACGGGAGTGGCAATGCTGGACTTGCATCGCCTCGTCTACATCTGTAGAGCTTGTCTACGTCTACTGCAGCTCTACGTCACGCAGCTCTACCCCAACACGGGTGTGTTATTACTCCAACACGGGTGGGTTATTACCCCAACACGGGTGTGTTATTGCCCCAACACTGGTGTGTTATTGCCCCAACACGGGTGTGTTATTGCCCCAACACGGGTGTGTTTTTACCCCAACACGGGTGTGTTATTGCCCCAGCACGGGTGTGTTATTGCCCCAGCACGGGTGTGTTCTCGGTTCTCCAACTGATTTATGTTCTTAGCAGTGCAGGTTGCTAGAATGTTTCTACGTGTCGGCTAACCCTATAGATGTATACGTAATCAAAAGCATGGAAATCTCACCTGATATTCCAACTGGTTACTGTTATTACTCTGAAAATATAAGGATGTACCTCTAAGAGTATTATATTATTACGCACCTTCAAATTATAATTATTCATAAAATGATTTGAAACCATTACTACTCTGTCTTGTTCTCTTAGCATGTTTTTTTTAACTACGTAAGTCTCAAAGTAAAGTTGTTTATGCATGTTGCCTCTTATAACCTAATACTGATGTTACGATACCAGGTATCGTTGATTTCGAATTTATTCCTGGCATATGGTATGAGATAAATACCGGTATTGAGTTATATGAAGCATAATTTTGATTATAAATCCTTCCAAATCAGATGGAGTTTATTCGTTATTGCATGTGCTCGTTATTTTAATGGGGGTGAGTTATGTTTTTAATCATGTTGGAAAATGGTTTGTCCAATTTTATAATGAATCGTTCTACATCAGATTACCTTACATGTATGCATTTCGTTTATCCTGCAGCTGCATGATATCTGATGCACTTTTTATCTGGTATGTTTTGGTTATTTGATGTAGATGGTTATCTTGATGTGAGACCGAGATGGTTATCTTGTGTGCAGCTCGTTGTGGTCGGCGCGGCAGTGCGGGGGAGGAGAAGAGTTCGCTGGTGGAGAGCGTTAGTGACGTCAGGGGACTCCTTCGTCAGATGCTGTCTGATCCTCTCCCTCCCACCTTCCAGCCTCACCGCCGCACCAAACACAGATCTCGGGGTCTGTTTCATGGCTGATATTCTTTGCTCTGGAAATAAAACTACTTCTGTTGCCATAGAAATGAAACTATCTCAGATCTGCCCCCTTTCCTATCAGCCCCACTGCCATGCCTAACTTAGATCTCGTGGTCTGTTTCTTTTCGAAGTGTATAAAAATTGCTCAGGAAATAAAACAAAATTTTTTCTGTTTATTGATTTATTAAAGTAATTTTCTGTCGTATTTTACGTCAGATTTAATCAGTCGTAACTGAACTGATTTAGGGCTATTTAGGTCACATGAGTGCTCTGAAATAGCGTTTACTTTATTGCATGGATAGAATTGATGATGACAGAGTAGATTTTCTGGAAGTCTTTCCTCGTATTACACAAGTTAGCTGTAACAGCAGAAAGTAACAATTCTCACTGGCCTCTGTATTGTTGTGTAGTTACAAGCGAGCGCAACCCTCTGACGCGCTTGACGGTGTCTGTGCTGGACGAGTGTCACCGAACCTTCGTGCTCTGTTTCCACGCCTTCTATCCTACTGGACACCTCAAGTGGGCCTGTCTCTGCGATCTCCTCGTGTCCAGAGACTCCTTGGTAAGTCACTTACTCTGCTGACGACGATGCCTCTGTAACCTCGTGTCCAGAAACTCCTTGGTTATTATTCGCTCTGCGGAAAGCAATGAATCTGCAACCCCTTCTTTTCTAGAGATTCCTTGGCTTAGAGATTTTAAGCAAGAAATGCTGATCGTATGAAGTAAAATGCCTTAAGGCACAACGTAATGCATACAGATCCAATATGTGATGGATCTTATTAAATTTAATTTAGGCTCTAGCTGGTTCTCTATCAAGAACGTTAATTGAAATAATTATTTAACTTTAAGTATTGTTTTCTTTTTTTATTAGGCACTGAGATGGTAGTCAAGTTATAGGCTCGAAATAAATTACAACCTTCACGTTTAAGTTTAATTCTAATCTCAAAGTTCTCATATTCATATGTAATTTTTTGAAGCAGTCGAGCGACGACAGCGCTGAGAACGACCGACTACTGAGCGCTGTGCTGGCCGCGCTCGCGTCGCCCACGGTCAAGCTACGCGCCACGCTCCCCATACTCGGTGAACAGGAGCCTGATAGCAGCTACACCCGCCCCTCCCCTGCTGATAACGCCTCACTCTCTTCCCTCCAGCCTGGGGACCTCAAGTATCCTCTTCTGGTCGAGCACATGACCTTCAAAACGCAGGTGAGCTATATGCCTGGGGACCTCACATAATTTCAGCTCCGGTATTAGATTTCTTAATTGTAATATACTGACCTTTCGGGTAAAAAAATGTTATTTGATAAGGTACGGTATTATTTTTTTGTGTATATCCTGTGTTTGAAATGTTAAACGCTTCTCAGTAATATTAATGTATGATCTTCTCACAGATGTCAGGTGGAGGGTTCGGGTGCGTGTGGACGTTCAGGGAGGTGTTAGAGCGGCTGCTGGGGGTGGTGTGTGGGGGAGTGAGAGGCGCTCTGAGGGGTGATCGCTCCCCTCCTCTGCCGTCCCTCGTACACAACACCTGCCTCCTCATAGCTGCGGCTGTAGCCGAGCTTGCCGAAGAGACTGCCCACACAGAGGCAATTACCGTATTCAGTTTTGCTAATATTTATTCTTTGGAAATTCTGATGTGGTGTTATTTGTAGAATCAGGATCATGTAATAAATGCTCTTATTGCTAACTTTGAAAATTTTGCTTAAAAACCTAGCATTGCTGCTTAGGAATTTTACTAAAAATTTTGTAAATATTATTACTGGTTAAAAATGATTTTAGAAAATTAAATCATTTGATAATATTATTTACAATGAAGTCCCGCTCCTTAGTCTTGTTTGTTCTACTCATGAGTCATTGCATGTAATAAGACTCCTGCGTCGTAGGTGGATGGGTGCTGCAGTGCGGGACGTGTGCTACACGCGACGCCCACGCGCTTCAGTCGCATCACGCACTGCCGCAGCTGGAGTACCGGCAACGGCTCTCCCGATGCCTTCTGCTTCTCCGTTGACCGACCTGGTGAGCAAACGACAGGGACATCACTACGATAATTGCCTTTTAGGGGGGCATGAGTGACTGGCAAGTATATATAATATATTATTTGGTCTTTTGGACAAGTTAAAATTTGAATTTCTTTCATACTGCCTTTCTTACTATTCTTTGATGACCTTTCTTACTAGTTCTTAGGAGCGACACAAGTTTGTACTCATTATTTAGCTCATACCTACATTTGAAATTTATTTTGTAGAAGACATTTACAAAATTATATCGATGAAATGAGTTGGTTTTGTAGTGCTGCATTACTTCTCACCGTCCTGTTGCTGTGTGCAGGCATCCTGATAGCCGGCGTGAGTTTGTTCGCGGGCGCTGGCACCTACGACTACGAGCTCGAGCTCATGGACGAGACCGGCTCCTCGGACCCTGAGTGTGGCGCCCTCGCTGCCATCGACGGTCAGAGATAATTGTTAACAATCTTTGTATCCAATCATGATAAACTAAACACCATCGACGGTCAGAGAAAATTTTGTAACCTCAAAGGATAAACTAAACGTCGACGGTCAAATGCGACTTGTTTAAAATCTTTGTATCTTTTCAGGATACACTGAATGAGATATTCGTTACCTACATTCAAGCAATCTATGTTGATGCTATTGTTCCAACTCCATTTTATCTGACTAGAGATCTCTAATGTTGTGGCTAAGAATAGTTTGTCTTCTTGAGGGGATTAGTTGTAGGTGTTTTTGGTGGCTTGTCATGGTGAACGAAGTTATCTAAGGTGGATACGCTGGATAGCTGAAGACTCTAAATTATATTCAGATTTTCAGCATCTTAATAAGTATTGACGCAAACCAACGATATGATCAAAGGCAAAATAAAAATTTTTATTATTCATGATTGGTTTTCTTATACGCCGTAAATCGTGATCATATATCGTAAAATAATTCGCAAAGACTGACTTAATTATTTGATTTCGTATAATGCTAATAGGATTCAGTTACTTATGTCCAGTTTTTAGTCTATTCTAGTGCCGTATAGTTTGTACAAGAAATGTTTGGCAGTTACTAACTTCCTCTAAGAGGCGATTACTGCAAGCGTTTCGGTAAGCTGATATCTATTTGAGACAAAGTTTTGGTCTATACAAAATGAATTGGTTGTATATTAATTACGTGAGTTTTTGTTGATAATTATTCTGTGGTGCAGGAGGCGGGAACTGCGAGCGCTGGGGCACGCTCGAGGCTGTGCGTGGGAGCTACGGCTCTGACGACATCGTCAACGATCTCATCCCCATCAAATTCGACAAGCCTGTGCTCATCAAGGTAGCAAAATGAACCTCATATTACTAGTTCGTTTTATTTAGATGTTACTCTTTTCTCTGATTATAGTAGAAAAACTGCTAAATATGCAGTCATTTCTTGATTTTACATTAAATTCTCCAGATCTAAGACGCTCTGATAGCTTTTCTTTTTGTTGCTGACAAACATTGCAATTGGCTGTTGTACGCGTTGCTGCCGTTTTTCATGCACTGGTTCTTCGTTTTTCGCCAGTTGCTCTGTCCTTGTTTGCCTCCTTTGGGATCAGCTATTTGTTTGGGGAAAAATAATTTTGTGTTATTTCTTCTTGCTGGCTGATTATATAATACTGCTTCTCGTGCAAGGTTGCTGCCAAACTTGGTATTCGCATTTTATTATTTGTTGTTATGGATGAACCAGCCTTGATTTTTTTGTCACTGCCAAATTATAGAAATACTTTATGGGTTGCCTGGTATCTTTAAACTGTGCTGGGATCGTTAATATACTATCACCACTTTACTAGGAATATTCCTTCCAAGAAAATCGTATTCGTTTGATATGATCATGTGATTAAGATGTTCATTAATTAATTTATTTTTTTTGTCCTATAAACGAATATTAGTATTGACGAAAAATTTGTATTAGCGTTATTAACGAAGTCGCAAGCACACTTGTTGGTGCGAGATTCAAATGACAAAGAGCGTGATTCATATTACAGGAGAACGTGAAGTACGCTCTACGCTTGGTGAACCGAGGCGCCCGCACCACGAACGGCGACGGCGGTCACATAAATCTTAAGGGGCCCGACGGGACGGTCTTCAACTTCTCTGCCTGCAGCCTCTCCGTGAACGGCACCAGCCACATACGCGGCCAGATGCCGCAGATACTTTATTATAGGTCAGGAGAAAAAAACCTTTTTATTTATTATAGGTCAGGAGAATAAGAATTTTAAAGCATGTCATAGCGGTGATTTTTTTTGAGTTTTTTAATAATTTCTTTTATTCCTGGGATTTTTCATTGCAATATTATTGTTAGATTTAGAGACCTTCGTAACTAGTTGAAGGGGATACCTTGGCATATTCTAGATTTTATAAGAAGAAAAATGTAGATGGAAATGAGATTATACTACCAGTATCGGGTGGGGAGCAGTCAGTCGTTATAGAATCTTCTCCGGATTGCAATATGTTGATGAATGCTTGATAACTCTAAAGTTAATTACCTAACAGTATTTTTACAATCGTTCATTGTTGTTGTAAAGTAATGACTTGAATAACCACTTAACAACACGAACACAAGTGCAACACTATGGAGGTGCTGTGAAATACTGCAAAATTAACTCATCAGATATTTACCATTCACTTAGAAAATAGCTCTAAAGATATTTACCTCACAATATTATTATAATCACTGGGTGTTGTTTTAAAGTAATAACATTAATAAGCACATACCAGCACGAGCCCCGAGTGCAACACGACGGAGGTGACGCGTGCAGTGGGGGCGCAGCAGGCGAGGGCGGCAGTGCTGTCTGTGGTGGGGAGCGTCGTGCGGGCCGCTGCTGAGCTTTGTATCATGGGGCTCGGTGTGGGGGATGACATCGCCATCAGAGTACTCGCCTCTTCCCCCATCATCACCATCCTGCTCCCCCTCCTGCTCTCCCATGTCGCCCCCGTGGCTCTCTCCGACCCCAGAGTCAGTGTCACATGCAGCGATTCTCGTATTTATGTCTTAGCATTTATTTTAACGTTTAATGTTTAATTATAATAATAATAATTAGATGCGCTGTTGGTTAAGTGCATTTTTCGAAGCATGGTGTGTACGAAATTCAAGAAATTTATTTGTACTTATTCATTAAAAGATGGGAGAATTTAATTTATTGCAGAAGGTATAATTTTTGTTTAGATTTTGTTAAATGGATGGAGGTTCATTATCGTTAGTCTTACGTCATGCTTGTCTGCTCTATAAATGAGAAAAGTTCCGCTCTTGTATGATTTCTTGTCTACCTACATTGTTGCCTCTTACTGTTGTGGAAAAAAAGGAAAGAAGTTATATGTACTATCATGTTACATTAATATCAACAAGTTTCATTAACTCTCAACACTTTACTCCCGTCATTGTCAAATAGAAACTATCAACTCATAACCTTCGTTGCTTGGAATTTCATTAGTTCTAGATTTGCTCTACTTCGTTGTTCGCTGGTAGCGCTTTCAGTGTGCAATTCAATATAAGTTATAAGGAAAGTTATAATGATAGTTGTAATGATAGTTATAATGAAAATTATAATGATAGTTGTAATGATAGTTATAATGAAAATTATAATGATAGTTGTAATGATGATAGTTATAATGATAGTGTTATAATGATAGTTATCATGAAAGTCATAATGATTGTTATCATGATATTCATCATGATAGTCATCATGAAAGTCATAATGAAAGTCATAATGATAGTTATAATGAAAGTCATAATGATAGATATAATGATAGTTATGATGATAGTCATAATGATAGTTCTAATGATAGTTACAATGACAGTTATAATGATAGTTATGTCCTAATTTTCAGAGCGCAGTGTCGGTGCTGGGACTGTGCCAGGAGCTGGTGCCTCACGTGGCGGCCCTCAACAACCTGAGCCTGGCCACGCAGCAAGCCTCGGAGCTACAGGAGACGTCGCAGGGCTGTCACAGCACCACCAGCCTCCACTACGCTACTGTTGAGAGCGAACACCCTTACAAACCTGCTACAGTTGTCTGCTACAGGTACACTGTTCTCTGCTACAGGTACACTGGTCTCTGCTACAGGTACACTGTTCTCTGCTACAGGTACACTCTTCTCTGCTACAGGTACACTCTTCTCTGCTACAGGTACACTGTTCTCTGCTACAGGTACAATGTTCTCTGTTATATGTACACTTTTCTTTGTAACAGATCTCCGTTCTGTCCGGCAACTAGTCATATTTAGTCAGTTATTAATATTTTATGATCTTAGTTGCAGGGAATATACAGCATCTGTAATCGAGCGAGCATGAGAAGAGGTTATATATCTTAACATATTTTTTATGCGGCTCTGGTTTGCTGCCGCCCGAAAATTCTCTGTCTATTTCACTTTGAGCTTTTTCAACGAGACAGGGCATTTGTCAATAAGTAAACTAGGGATCACCTGATAAAGAGCATGCAGACTTACAATTAGGAATACCAATTATTATAGGTGACACGTTTTAAAACAATCAGACATTCAAAAAATAAATGTTATCTATTCGCATGTTAGTACTGAAGTACAGAAAAGTATTGCCAAGTATGTTCGGCAGAGTGAGCTTCCCAGCGAATGTGCAGTGGATGACCATCGACTTCGACCCTCAGAGCAGCCTAGCTCAGCCAGAAGATTCTCTAGTTGTGAGTATTTATCTTGTCCACCTGCAAACTTCTTACACCAACTTATGCTGTTATTTTAATCACCCGTTGATAGTACGTATAACTCTTCGCTTCACTCATATTCATATGAATAATGATGATCTCTTGTATTGAGGATAAATCTAGTCTGCCCTAAAACTCTTTCCTTGATTCTTCTCATGCGATTTCGCACCAATAATTGTTAATGTTACTCGGTTAGCTTCCTGTGGATTTGGTATCCTCATACTAAATTATCATCATATATAATGTTGAGGGCCGGAGACACAAGACTTGCATTATTATTTACGTTATCGTACTATCTGTTTTGTGATGTTCTTTACACGACACTTTTAAGAATTATTTCAAAATGTTTGAGTTATGAGCAAATTTCGATGAGATGTTCGTTGGTTTATCTCACATATGCCACACGGCTGCCTCATATGTCGTACATAGCAACTGTCCGAGTGGTAAACGAGTAGCAGGTTGGATTCCTTCTTATGAAAATAATCATTAGAATTAATTTATTTTTGACCGTGCAGGTTCTGATACCGAGCTTGTCCAGTGGTAGCGCAGCTACAGCTTCACCTGCTACAGGCAGTGAAGGCTCAGCCACTAGCGCTAAGAAGCCTGGCAAAGACGGGGCCGCTGCGGCACCTAAAATAGTTTCCGCGGGCAGTATCGCTAAAAAGGCGCCTGTTTTGAGTGGTGCTGTGGGTGGAGCTGCAGCTGCTTGTTCATCTAACCCGTCCAGCACCGAGGACGCTGAAGACGCGCCGTTCTGGCCCGTCTTGCCGCGCATCAGTTCTGTCGAGAAGTTCCCTGAACGCACCGTCATAATTCCTGGTGCGTATTATTCCTGCACATGTAAAGTACAGGGTGGGGCGGCACCGATTGAGCAGTTTTGAGGCGAAATAAAAGATTAATGGAGGTACATAAAGAAGAAAGTTTATTTTCCTCGAGGTTAACATATCATACCATTTAGAATACTTTTGTTTTGAAAATAATATCTGGAAGATGGTGGCCGTTAGCTGCAACACACTGTTGGAGTCGTTCTCGGAGGAGGGAGTAACCGTGACATTGAATTCCGATCGCTATGCTGCAATGTTGCAAAATTTCTTGCAGCCTAGGATGGAAAACATTGTTGAAAATGAAGCATTGAGAGACGTGTGGTTCCAGCAGGATGAGGCTACAGCTCACACAGCTCGAATGTCACTCAATGTTTTGAAACGCATGTTCCCAGACTCAGAGGAGAGATCTACAGTGGCCTGCGAGGTCACCTGATTTGAGCATTTGCGATTTCTTTCTTTGGGGACATCTAAAAGATAGGGTATTCCAGAAGTCGCCCTCACACCCTACCACAGCTGAGGGAACGGATTATTGCAGAGGTTATGGACATACCTTGCCATATAAGTGAACCTGATGTAGGAAACTTCCGAGAATGACTCCAACAGTGTGTTGCAGCTAACGGCCACCATCTTCCTGATATTGTTTTCAAAACAAAAGTATTCTAAATGGTATGTTATGTTAACCTCGAGGAAAATAAACTTTCTTTTTTATGTACCTCCATTTATTTCGCCTCAAAACTGCTTAATCGGTTCTCTGCCCCACTCTGTATATGAATGTCGTGTGACGTATCACTTCTTTGTCACAGTTATGTCATAGTGATTACAGAATTATTTGTGATATTGTATACACTGTAGGATGTTTCACAGTTATTATATCATATCAACTAGGAGATATGCATCTATTCTTTCATGGTAATACGAGCTGATCTCTCAATATATTTTCAAATTCTTCGTGGATGTAAATTCGTTGCGCTATTTGAAGGCAGGTTCGTACCCTGCGAAAATTACGCGGAATTCATTAAGATAATGTATTAAATCCTCTCCAACTCGCCCCCCATTTGCTATTAATTTCAATGAAGATGAACATAGTTATAAGTTTACATTTTTAATTTATTTGATTTTTGAATTAATAATTTTACAGGCATTAAATTATTTAGGTATCGATAGGGTGACCATTTTTGGAATCTCATTGTACACCCCCGCTCTTCACGTGAGTAATGTGTTTCGTAAATTGTTGAAGTGCGTTTCAAATTAAATTTTTTAGTCATATCCCTATCAGTACTGATACAAGATTACGGTATTTACGTATTAATTTAATCACAAGACCCTAATTTGTATCATAAGTGCCTGTTCTGTTCATATAAAGACTTGATGGTATTGCGTGCAGGCAACGAGTTGGTGCTCTCGATGGAGACTGCATCGGACTACCTGAAGGAGGGCGGAGGAGCTGGTGCCTGTGGGGCGGCAAACCGCTGGGGCTTTAGCGCTCGCATCGTAGGCTACGAGTGGCCTCCTGTCTGGCCTCCTACTCCATCTGAGGCCATCAGGCACCTCGAAAAAGAGCTCAGCTACCTCGGAGGCCTCTGCGCCGCCTCGCTCATCAAAAAAGATCTCAAGTTGCCACCTGTTGGTCCGTGGCCCAGAATATTACTTTCCTCTCGTAGTCTTTCATTCTCTAACTTTCATGTTTAATTTCCGTGCGAATATTATTTTAGCTTTTCTTAGCTTCTTCTTATTGATGACGGCTAAGTCTTAGGTCATTCGTATACATGTTCATAGATGAATATGATGTAGGGAACTTTCACACCCTGCATCACCACTGATTTATATAGTATTATTTCAGTATGTAATACATGTCTAATGATTATAGCTTGCAGAATTACCAGACCGCATAATAAACGAAGTAGAATTTATTTTGCAAAATTTCTTCACTCACCAGTCGTACGTACTGCCCCGAGTTCTCCATGTATCGCAAAAATCTGTTTTAATTATGATTAGGTTCTCCATGTTTATTTGTTTAATTAAAATCTGTTTTAATTAATTAATTAAAATTAATTAATTGCAATTTATTTTAATTGATCTGTTTCATTAAGAAAAATCTGTTTTTTATTTAAGAAGAATCTTTATAATTAATTTTAATCAATAGAGTTTAGCCATTCAAGTGTTTCATTTGCAGGAGGGGAAGAATTTGAAGACGACATGGAAGGAGCTGAGGAAGTGGGTCAGAGTGTCCTGCGTGCCCACCCAGCCCTCCTCTCTAAGGGCTTTGCTCTCTCACACCCACCCACCATACACCACACCCTGGATGGTGTCATTCCTTTCAGGTGGGTTATTTCTAATAACATTTGTCACACGAGCTTGCTACTAAGAAGAACAAAAGCGATCCTAGTGATAGAGATTAGGCTATTATTCATGTCGCCTATTCTGGATATCACAGAATTTTCAAAGCTTTCTGCGAGTCTCGAACATGCAACTGACTGCTACAATATTGTTTTGCTTAACCGCCCGGCCTCCTCGCCGATTTTGATCAGAATAGTCGCAGGAAGCTGGAATCGAACCCGGAACTCTGCTCCTAACTTGGTGCTCTGAACAGTAACCCCTGGGGTACAGTGGTTACTGTTCCTTTTATAGTGGAATGCACGTTATATTGTTGAATAGAATATACCCTACTAGTATTATATAGACCCATAAAGAACCCATTTGTAAAAAGATAGAGAACCCGTTCAGATGAAGAAATCAACCCGTTTTAAATCCAATACCGGCGAAATTAAGACAATATTAACCGTGTCTTTACTCTATTCCAAATATTTATGGGTTATCGTTTCAAAAATTATTTGAAAATTGAACATTTGCTCTCGCAGTGCCTCTTCATCCCGCGTAATTTTTCTCTCATTTGGTGGTTTCACTGCTTTTTTTGTAATTCTTATTTTCTCCATGATGATAAAGGTTATATTAAATTTTTTAATTATTAAAGATCAGATTATTATATATTAATGATGGTAATAGGTGAAGGTGATAGATGGAGCAACATGCAAAACGAATGAACGGTAAATATTGTAATTGTTTAGCGAGTGCTCATATTTTGGAAGCTTGTTGCTACAAGCGCTGCATTCTAAAGAATACAAAGTTAGCATTGAAGAAATTTCGAAGAAGTTATCCGTTGGAAGTCCTGCTCGTTTGCACTAAAACTGTCACCCACTGCAAGTTAGCAAAAAATCTGATGAAGTCAGAATGTCTCAAATTCGCTACATTGGTTGAAATCGTGGGGCGTTTAGACTTGAGGGCAGACTTTAGTATTGGTCAATGGTTAGTCATGCAGCCTATAACCATACATTCAAAAATTACTGCACGCACACCTCCCAGACAGCAAAAATATTTTAAATTTTTAGTTTGTATTTCCCAAAACTTCCTTACACTAAATCCGCATAACACTATCATCCATAACATCCCAAGAGGTAAAGTCACAAGAAATTGAATTATGAAACAAGAACTTTCTCAATTTACTCTTATTTTACTTTCTGTATTTACTTTAATTTTTCCTTTAATCCACTAGTCACCTCGTCTCTCTCAGCCTCGACACTTTATTTGAGGGAGTTTCAACTCCCTCACTCCAACCTGCGATCTTTGCAGTCTACTCCTCCCATGTTCTCTCTCAAATCCCCCCCCCCCGTTCTTTAACGCTCACCCCCTCATTTAGACATTAATCATAACTCGTTTTTCTTTATTATGAACCTCACATTGCACCCCACATCAGGCGCTTGACACATAATTTTCTTGACACCCTCATCACAAATACATAGAAAATTTGCCCTTCATCTCCCAATTCCCCCCAGTATTTACCGCCATTCCCACCCAGTGCCCCCGCCCCCACACCCAACAGAAATCTGCTACCGTCATACACACACACACCTATACATTCATACTTTAGCATTGCCTTATTAACAGAAGTTAACTGCACTGTAAGTTATCCTAATAGAAGTGGCGAACGCAAAGGATAGTTCTAAATGATAATTCTACCTCAATGCAGCACGATATTGTCACCTTTTTAGCGCATTTTCTCATTTCTTGAAGAAATGCACTATTGTGCTCACCATGCCCGTCTGTCCGTCCGTCTGTCCGTCTGTCAGTTCGTCCGTCTGTCTGTCCGTCCGTGATTCCACGTTTTCGTCGACGAGAAAATGCGCTCTCTGTCACTCACTGCAGTGAGTACTGAGTTATATTTTTTTCGTAATACTGCTATGTAGTAAAAATGAATTTCAATTGAAATGATAAAGAAAAGAATATTATATTAATATTATTATTATTATTAATATTATTATAATATACTAATATTATTATATTAAAATATTAACACGTACAATATTTTATTTTGAAGGAGGGAAAATGGACATAGAAATTTAGAATTACCAATACAGAAGTGTTTGGCGCACAATAAGTGGAGAAGCCTTTTCTGCAACCTCACTTGCAAGATACAAAAAAATGCATTTTTCTTATTTTATATGATGCCGCTCATTATTTATCTGGATAATTCGTCTATGATTACAATCTCTAACGGCTTGTAATTCCTGTAATGTAATGGTTGAATGTTATCTACTTGCTTCGCTATAGGTTGTCTTGCTGCAATAAATTTAAACCATCGCTATCTTTGAGGCAGTTCACTCATCAGCCTTTTTAGCAATTCCTTTTCCTTGCACGTCCATTTTCATTAAATTTGTTTCGCTTCAGAACATTTTTTTCAGAATATTTTTCATAATTCTGCCATACGTACTCCCTACTTTTTTATTTTAAAAATTACTCTGTCTTCCAATACTGGAGCCTCTTCTAAGACGGGTGCTAGTTTGGCGTTCGCTACATTCATAACGTTTGGTATGCCGGCCATCATTGATTTGTTTGCAGTTCCATCTAATTTATCTTGTCGAGCAAGTCCCACTTGCGTATGGGCCGTCTTTTGGTTCTTGATCGCTTGTTGGTAGACTGAATTTGCGTGCTTTTGATAAAGTTTTAAAGTTCCTTGGCCTATTAGATCAGTGTCGTGCTCCACGATAGCCTCGTTTCTGTAACACCTCATATAAGGCAGCTCTTCGCTGTCGACGCGCTCCAGCGTACGTGCCTTCTCGAACAACACTTGGATCTCTGCCTCTCTGTACGCTTGCTGGTTGGGTATTACGCGCGACCATGTCAGCTCCCCTTCTGGAAAAATGAAACATTAAATTGATTTTTCGACACATATTTCGAATCAAATTTAACAACAGGAGTTACGTCATGTTGAAATTAAGAGCAAAGATTTTGAATTTTATTTACGACCTTCAACGGATCATTTATTACGATATAAAGAGACTGTCTATACTTCACTGCGATAGTGAAGTGATAGGATAGGGCGCTAAGCGCTCGCTCTTCCTCCGCTTGACACTAGAATGTAGAAATGTGGCATCTTAATCATTCCCTTCACGAATACCAAAAATTAGCGAATTCTTGCCTCTTAAAGTACGCGTACTGACAACCTCTTGGAAATGTATACGAATTATTATTATTCTATTATATTATTATAATAGTATAATATATATAATATTAATATAATTATATTATTATAATATAATGTGATTAATAATTATTATAATTGTAACTCTAATAATAAAACTTATTGAACCGTCTATGATAGCCACCCGCTTCCTTTGCAGTTAAGGAGTCAGTGAACTTCGACGTCTTTCTTCTTCGACGTCTTCGTATTTTTACACTTCTCTTTAACTTCACTTCTTGTTTGTTTGTTTGTCTGCTACAAATCTTATAATCGATATTTAACCCACTTCTACCTTCCCATCGATTAGAAATTTTGTACACTTGCGTTAAGTTGGAGACAATGCATGAATCAATTTACAGAATATATAATTTTAAAAATTAAAAATTTTTGTTAATTAAAAAATTGAAAAAGTAATTTTGTCTTCCACAAATCTTATAATCGATATTCAACACACTTTTACCTGACAAATTGATCTAAAATTTTCCACACTTGCGTAAAGTCGAAGGCAATGCATGAATCAATTGACAGAATAAATAAATAAAATTACAAAATTAATTTTTGTAATATTTGATAATAAAATTAGAAATTCATTGAATATGTGTAACATCGGAAATACTGGATTCTTAAGAAGTGTTGTCTTTAAAAAGTAATTTTTAAGCGCATATTATTACGAGTTGAATTTCACGTCTATAGCCTGCCAACTTGCCAAGCCAGGTTTCACGCTTATATAATGGTTAAAAATTATCATTAATTATTAGGATGAAGGTTCAAATTACCCGGAAACTGCGGTTGAATAGTAGAAGAGTGCGTGGCAGCGAGATGCTTCTTCTTGAGCCTCCTCCACGTGACGATGACGTAGCAGGCGAGCACGATCATTATAGCTCCGAAGGTTGCTAGGAACACCGTCGTCGTGGTGTCCGCTACCACGCAGTTCCTGCTGTAGTACTGCCATACCTAACCCCAAGATATGAGTTACTCATAAGTGATAAGTTAAAACTTACTCTCACTGACATCTTCCAGGGAAATGACGTTGAAACAACGTTTATCGCGAGCTTGATTCGTTAAAACTATGTTATAGCAACGATAGTTTAAAGTCAAATGCCTGATGGGAGATGAGATGCACATTTCCTCGAGCTTCAACTGTAGAACTAGTCGTGGCTTAGATTTTAAATGATGTAATTACTACTATTAAGATTCAGGAACTGTCTTACTCGAACCGAAGCTTGAAAGGTGAAGCATTGTTGGGTGGAGAAAGTAAAATGAGCCCCCGACAGTTTGAAATGAGCCATTCAAATCAATTCGGAAAACTCTGAGTTTAGTTGATATGAAACATCAAAATATTGATAGAAACGAGCTGGCGCTCCAGGAAATGGAGGTATTAACAAGTCATAGTACCGGAATATATTGTTGCTCTGGGTTGCCCTGCTGTCTGCACAAGCTCTTCTGCACCCACGGCTTCAGTAGGTGATCTTTCCTGTCTGACTGAAAACGATAATGTAGTCAATTAGGATTGGCCAGTCTAGTTTAAATGTTCAATATTCACTCTGTAGAAGGGGTCTTCAAAATCTCATTAGGAAATAAGACAAGTACATATTATATTTTATTAATTTCACAAGAGCGTTAGTCCTGTTTCATGAAGTTACCTGTTGAGAGTAATTTCTTACCGACTCATTGTAATATTTAACATCGAATTTTTCACCGTACCTGATCGACATTGGCCGCTGCCACGATGGCGCGCAAGATGCTGTTGGAGATGTTGCAGTTGCAGGACTCCTCGAAGACGTTGCTCCTGACGACGACGATGTCAGAAGTGAGGTCGTCTGGCAGCTGCAGAGAACCTTCTTCTGTTATGTTGAAGCGGTTCTGAACGATCTGCAGTAGCGTTGACTGCGCTGGAAAACATTATTTTCCCCTTACTGAACGCAAGGCTACGTCGACGCAAAATATTCAGCGGAGTAGTAGTGAATGATCGTTGCAGTCATTCTAGAATGATAGATTTTCTTGCCGAAAATAGGGACGGTGCAAAGCAGCTTGCATAACATTTAAATTAATCGTTTATTTTGTGTCCGTTTAGCTAGGTATACCTTAGCTCCTGGAGGGTTTGAAAATGGTGTACTATTTATATACTCTATACAGAAATTCGGTTACATCATAGAATTGTAGCCATCGGATTGATACAAGGTAACAAACCAAATATGAGTAACTTTCCTAAATTTGTTGCGATTAATTTTTACGTACATTGGGTATTGATGGCCATGAAAGCTTGCCGCTTTGCGAAGTCGACGATATTGTAGGAGAAGCTGATCCTAGCGCCAGCGGAGAGAGCGAGGGCACCGCTGGGCAGGTTGGTGAAGTGGTTGCCATCTACCACGATGTCCTCCCGAGCTGTCAGGCGCCATGGTGCCTCCAGCATCACTGGGAAGCTGTTGTTGCTCACCTTGATGTTCGAGTCCACTTCCGCCGTCACGAACTGTGCCAACGACTCTGCTCAGCGAATTAACGTGCATTCCTCTTTCAATAATAGTTCATATGCCCTGTTTCATTTTAATGTCAGATGAGAAATCTAAATTTTGTATCCAAAGCCAACTGAAATCTGTATGTAGTTTTGACCTATCATCATCTCAATTTCCGCAAGAGAGTGCTCATTTTTATGTCAATGCTTTACTCACCAGTAAAATTGTTGTACCTTAGAAGCAAGTTTCTAGGCAGACTGAATGCATTGTTGACTATGAAGGCATCGCGTTGAACCGCATTGAAGATATTCCGTTGAATGCTGATGACTCCTTCAACGGTGTTGTTGAGGAATCCAGTTTGCAGCTGGCCTATAGTATTACCCTCCATCATTAAGTCGTGAATTCTGATGTTGCCAAAGACTTCACTAGAGGCGATGCCGACATGCGAGTTATTCATCTGGAAGTTAACTTTAGGCGTATTGGCCCTCGGGGCACCTGTGATGTCGCTAGATGAGTTGTCGCTGCTGAACATCTGCTGTGGCAGAGTACGTGTGGTCACGTCCGTCATGATGAGCGTGAAACGCTTCTGATGATCCTGGTCAAGCTGGAGTGCACTGGGCTCTAAAGTCAGCTCTGTTATGTTAGCCAGTCGAAGGGCGTGGATGCTAGAGTTCCGGAAAGTACCGCTCCTTATGGTCACGTTGCGGCAGTTTCTTATGGCCGCGCGTTTTTGCAGCCCTCCGCTCTCTATGTTCTTCAGCTCTAGTACCAGCCTCTGTACGTCCTGTGGCATGCAATTTTTGCAGGTAAATATGCTATCTCTATATTTCTTTTGTTTGACATATAATGGCTTCTGAATTTGGTCATGTAATCTGTTATAACTGTTAGCTATTAGTTCTTCTATTTCGGCTGATCAGTTTCTGCCAACGTAAAAATTTAGGGTCTTCTATGGATATGTGTTAACCTAATCTCTAAGGCCAAATTTACCAGTTGAAGCCGGAAAAAATAATCATCAGTGTCATTTAAGCAAATAAATGGCATAATTTTTTCATAACGGAGTAAACCATTAAACAGGCACTCCCGACGTTTTAAAATAAGATATACATAGTGGCACATACGTACTGGCACCGACGTCGTGTCGCCAAAATAACGCGAAAAGTATATGGGGGGGATTATATTTTTACGATAAACCTATGATTTCACACCGAGTAAACTTTAAATAATTAGTGCTACTGTTCAGCATCACCCACTTCGGATATCTACAATCAATTCTCTTCTTATAATCATACCTGGTCTAGACAGTCGCAGTCGAAGACATCTGCTATGCAGCGGCACTGTGGTGGCACTTCATTACAGCCACCGCCAGCTGCTAGAGGGAAGTTGATTTGGCACAGCACTGTCTGGTGCCCTAGCAACATCAACAAAACTATCGACAGGATTCCCACGACTGCCATTTTTGAACACACAAATCGTGTAGTCCTCATTTAATTTACTTTGTGCTGATAATTGCGGATAGCAAGTCATGCAGCATATATTTATTCATAACTCTAGATTAAATATTTCACATTAAATTTTTTTACTCAGAAAGTATGCTTCTCTGGAATTTCAGCGTTAAATTCAACCGATCCACTCGCTTTTACCAAATGTTTATTGCGTGTTTAAGAGCCACGTCTCGTACTCAATTCCTAGCAGCACTACGCGCGACACTCGAGCGGCGTTCCACTGTCTGGCTGCAGGATGTCAGGGAGATAGTGAGTAAGTAATCGGGAAACCCTTCAAGGCGTTACTCTTGCGTCGAATTTCATTACTGGTGATATACGAGCTCATCTAACCTTGAAGTCATCCGTCAGAATTTTTCTTGAACATTGACACTTATTTCTTTATAGCTTGTATTCATTGGATTGTTCATAAAATTTGCTACGATTTCTTCAAAGAAGAGTCAAAGTTTCTATTACTTTTGTTGTGGGTTTGAAAAATGATACGGTTTGTCTCTGTTATGAAGTTGTCACAAACTTTTATGAAGTTGAAGCTCATTTGTTTCTTCAACACTGCAGTTTCCTAACGTTTAATCAATCATATAACTGCCATTGTATTTTATCTGTATAAACCCTCCTTAAAATTGGTCTTTAAGCTATTGTGGGATGTTAAAGATAATAATGATGATTTATATTTTTGACATTTTACTCCCCAGTGTACGCATGATCAATATCTACCCTTATTATAATGTAAATTAATAATACCAGTATAATTCTGTATTATCAGCTACTTTATTTGAATACTTATTCTATGTTCGGGAATAGATGCCTATCGAACGTATGATACTAATGCTAACACACTGTTCAAGTTGTGTGCATTGTACAATTTTTCATTCATAATATTGACGAATGCGTCAGAAATATAAAGAAATTTCCGCTAGAGGAGCCTTCCTTTTAATGCGACTGCCAGCTATTTACATTATGATACATTTTTACTAGTCTAGTAAGATATATTTACAGAATATTGCCCACTGTTGAGCGATGCCTGCTGTAAAATAGCTTCTACAGGCTCGCTATTTGATTATTGATTCATTAACACCAGACAGTCATTTCAATCGCTTATATTACTGGAATCACAGCTAAGAGTCATTCCTCCATGCAGTCTTTTCGCTTCTATTGTAACAATATTTCTCGGTCTATTTAAGAGAAACGAAATATTTCGAGGCTGTCGGAAACTCTACAGCCTCGTTCCATTAGACTTGTTTGCTTTTGGTGCACCAATTTTTAGAATATTCTCTAGTGTCTAGTTGAACGGGCACGACTGGCGCGTAAGATTGCGCCGCTGCATTTCCAGCATGTACTCTTGACACGAATTGCGTGTCGATGATGCTATGGGTTGTGACTCTTCGTAGGTGACGTGCACTTCTGTTTCCTGGTACGTTTTCAATTCAGGCACTGCCATTATCCATGATGGCTTGCCCTGTGAATCATAATACACGTACTTGCTATCTAAGGGCGTCGGTGCTGCATGGGTGTTTATTGTTGAAAAGCTACGCGATGAAGTTTCCCCGAGGTAGCTGATTTCTTCTTGTGCCTTCTTCGCTTTCTTGGCGCATATTACGGCAACCGTAACGCTGGTCAAAATGATCGCAATCACCACGGTTGAGGCGATAATCAGTAGCACTGGCATTGGGGAGCATTCGTTTTTCAAAAAGCTGCCGATCTTGACATACCAATGGCTTCCTTCGAAAGGTAAGCACAACGAATCTGCAAGAACGGCTTCGTTTAAGACCCGACTATACGAATCGTTAGGGTTTATATCCAGCATGCGTTCGAAGTGGATGGAGATATTACATTCACAAATGATGTGGAATCTGTTGTTAAGCACTTTCCTCTCGTGCTGCGGGTACAGATCGCTGATCACGAGGGCGTTAGCGTCACCCGAATGTACGGTATTATTGAGAAATACAATGTTTGACGAGCGTGAATCTTTCATTGGCTTGATCTTGAGGAAAGCACTACCACGAATTTTTTTGACCGTGTTGTACTCGAAAAGAACTTGTCCTCCAGCTTCAATTGCCCATGCATACGAGTCCAGCTCTTGGATCACATTTCTGGAGAACACGACACTCTTTGAGGCATGGAGACAAACAGCGTTGGCAGGCAGGTGCGGGAGATTACAATGTTGTATGATCAAGTCTTCGTACACGTCCACGTCGATACTTTTCGGGGACATGGAATTTATCTGTGGAGATCAGAACATTAGCAAGCGTCAAATTTATATCGTGAGCTGCTAGTTTTACACAAGTTTAGTTTCAATTTATAGAATTTGTGAGTAAACGATAAGTATTTCCACACTGTTAGAGAAAACGGTGAAAGAACTGTCCCACTGGCGTTCTAGTGGCCGGTCGCCACGTGAAAATAAACTGTTTCGCCGTTTTTATCAGTTGTATACGGATTTCTAGTGTTAGGGTACGCACACAGTGAAAGCAGGTTGCCAGCGTGCTGGTTACCTGCTCAGGCTGGCGCCTGAAACCATAGAATACAGAAGCCTATTCGTACAGGTTTTCACTGTGAACACTTAAATTATTATCCTACGTTCATTCTTGTGGCAGGTTGGAGCAGGTTGCCCGCGCGGGCAAACCTCCTTCCACTGTGTGCGTACCCTTAAATTAGAATACAAACGGCGACACGGTTTTTCTTTTCACGTGCCGACCGGCCACTGAAACGCCGGTAATACCGTTATACCGGTCGTTTTTCTAACAATGCAATATTACTCTATATTCAATGAAATAAACCCTGTCCAGCGAAATAACTAAGAAAGAAACCCTTGACTGAAATCATTTTAGTGTTACATAGACTGCATAGAAGTTTGAGCAAGTCTCGTGTGCTCGTGATTTGAAATTTTATTTTCAATCGAAATGTTAGTGGTAAGTTGTTATCTTACCGAAACGTCGGTGAAGTTAAAGAACAGTAACCGCGCTCGGTTAAACGCACGACTCTCCATTTCTCCGATAGATCCCCTGCTCAGGACAATTTTAGTTCATTAAGCAATTTTATTAACAAATGTTGAATATTACAAAGATTTGCATCTTTAAAATATGTTTGAATCATAAGAAGAATTACCTCATATCTTAAATTATAGCAATCTCTGCTGCAAAATGGTTGGTCTCTGGGAATAAAATTTGTTTTATTTAGATTTATTCTGGTTCGAAGGATAAATCTATGTAAACCAGATTTATTCCCAGGGACGAAATTATTATTCCCAGAGATATATTCTCATGTAACTCCTTGAACCATATATGTCACTCATTTCATTCTCTGGGAATAAGTCTGGTTTATTTACATTTATTCTGGTTCGAAGAATAAATCTCTGGGAATGTGTCCATGATATGGATTGTTCTAGGGGTTACAGGACGCTGTATCAAATTGAGCTGAAGAACTAAGTAAGGAACGAACCCAAGCATGCGGAGTGTGATGAAGCGCGTTTTTTCTAGCGCCAAATTATGTTCCTCTCGTGAGTGATCTGAATCAACTTCGAGTTGCGTGAGAGTAGATGACGGCACCACTGGGATGTTGCAGTTGACCAGACTGATGAGAACTCTCATGTTCTCTCTGAAAAGTAAATGTTTCTGATAATGCCGATATGATTACATTTCCTGATTGCAGCATGCATACTTGATTTCACTTTTCCTACTAACATTAAAGTTTGGCTTCCTCATTTGATTTGAATTCGGACACTTGCGGATTAAAGCATTTAATATTACCTCCATTAATGCAGGCTTACACGTGTATCTGCATTATGGATTCAATTAAAATGCATCGTACAAAGTAAGGATTTCCTAAGACCTTTTTTAGATCTTGAATATGGAATCGATAATCACAAGAGTTGGATTTAAAGGACAAATTTTCGAACTAACCGTGAATGGGGACTGAAATGCAGGGACTTCTCGTACAGTTCAACTCTCGCTATGTTCTCAAAGATGATGTGTTGCAGAACCGAATCTTGGTTCGAAAATGTTTCCGGCATGATTATGACCGTGTCGAAGTCCTTCACTTCGATGGTGACAGCACTTGGAGGAATGAGATGTCTAGTGAGGTTCAAGTTCGTTATCGTCTGCAAAAACGGAAATGGTTAAAATCACAGCAGTGCTACGTGCTCAGGGATATGCAGTCTTGTGTGAATGTTACACCTATACACCTATGATGGCTTGGTTCTGTCTAATGAACTAGTCTATTGCATGGTGAACATGCCGCGTTGTTACCGGTATCTCAACGCTGGTGAGACGAGCTCGTCGCCTACTTTATCTAACCATGGTAAGAAAGAATGAGTTGAACTAATACGATGACTAAAAGTTGAAAAGGAAAATGAAACGCAAATACTGGTTCTAATAACTATTGAGATCTCATACAGTAAAAGTGACAGGAAAATGACAGAATAAAGGAAAATGTGTAAAAATGATTACCTGAAGCTGAACTAAAGATGACACCCAGTAAAAATGCACACGGACCAATGAGTAAAGTGCACATTACTAAAATGCTTCCAATATTGAGTTAGATATGAGGTTATAGGGAGCTTTCAAGCAACTCACTCAAGAGGTTAGGGAGCGTGGAACAGCAATTAATTCAGCTCCACACTTTAGAATAGGTTTCGACACAAATTTAGATAATCGGTTAATGATCTAGCCCTGACCTGAAAAAGAATGAGAATGATTACTGTAAAATTAATAAAATAGTTGTACACTTCAAAAGAGAAACATACACAGTAACACAAATAAATAAGAGGGGCAAGAGGGTATGCTGCAAGGTAGCCTAAAGTCCTAAACCACCCCCGCCAACAGCGAGGCGTGTGAACCAAATCCACATATGAAGGACTGGAGATGATTAATCGTGCGCTGGCCTTTTCCGTGTGACAATGCTCCCAAGGTTTGAAGCAAAGCATTGGCTTGAGTTCTTTCGCACGCTTAAATCCACAGTTGAAATTTGTTAGCACTAACTAAGCTATTCATCGGTGGTGGAGTAGAATTTTTTTACATGAAACCAGCATCAATTATCAGGAACCGAACTCACCCGAAAAGTGTTTCCTCGTTTACAGGAGACGTGGGCCCTATTTTTGTTGCATAGGCAGTATTCACACAAGTCGTGGTCGTTGATGCTTTTGTCTGTCCGGTTATTGCTCATGTCGTTATCTGCACATCATTCAAATACTTGAATCATTCTCCTCGAGGGGCATCTGCTAACAAGTATTAAATTATAATTATCAACCTATAAGTCATCAGGTTGAAATTATGAAATTGCAGTCCGGTTGTCAAACTATTCCTTCTTATTCAACGTGTTCTTTATTACAACATAGAATTCGAGCATTCTGGTGCATGAAACCTTCGTTTTCCAATGTGTTCTTTCAAGTTTGAAATTTTAACTTATCTAAAACTGATTTGACAAAACTGATACACAGAATAAGACGTTTTAACGTAATTTTCAGTACGCCTCGACAAGCACCGCGAAATAACAGTTTAAAACCAGTATCACTCTTCATCTCGACTGCCAAATCATCCTGTGATTGATTTACTTCGATACCGATGAAACCTACGACTTGAATTATAACGACAATGTTATTAGGATATTGATAATACTAATATAATAATGTCCCTTAAATGCTCTTTTAATATTCTGTGTAGATAATTATTATTATTATTAATTATGATATTATTTTATTTTATGAGTGTTCTTTTACGATGGAAAATAATTCGAGTTGACTCACCTGCCGTGGCCCAAGCATGTGAATCTGGTGCGTCGTGTTTGTGCATATCACGTGGTTGCAAAGGTACAATGTTTGTACCTAAGTCAGGTGACACTTTGTCCATGTGATCGTGATCATGGTCATGATCGTGACCGTCGTTATCAGTATTTGCCGATGTCCCACTGATAGCCTCAATTCCAAAACCACGGTCTGGAGATGATGAGCCGTCATCCACTTTGGCATCCGTGTTATTTGAGCTACCATTGATTTCAGGAAGGGCTTTCTCAACAACTGGATTACCTTCAGGCAGATCTGCAATCCGATTAGGGTTGGGCGTAGAGAGACCTGGATGAACAGGAGCTGGTGGTTGATCTATGACAACCCTCGGCCGTTCGTGGGTCGCTGTATTTCTGTTGGCATTTCTCCAGCTCTCCGAATTGTAAATACCGTTGAAGTGAGGCCGTATAGCGGTAGGAAGACTAGACTCTCGACTCGGTGGTGGCATACGAATTGGGGGCTTAGGATGTCCTAGTCCCCTTTCGTGGTTTATGGGAGAAACTTGTGCTGTCCTTATTCCGGACACTAGATTTTCAGTACCCGATTCTTGAGCATTGAGTACCAAGATCATCAATAACACGATTATTGTAATTGCAGACTCCATTTTCGCAAGGAGTTATTGGAAACCTTGATAAATATTTCACTTGTGTGTTTTATAAGTGTTGCACAGCAAGTTTTCTTTGACCCGCCAAGTTTTGAAGAAAGCGTTGATTCCCCAAGTATGTTTAGCGTACACACTTGCCATCTGTCCACTAAAGACTAGCCGCTCAAGCCTATGCGAAGCGCCAGTTATCTGCTCTCCAGGATATGATGTCATGCAAATCTTGCGACACTACTTCGTGATGATACTAGCCAGCACTCCTTCAGCATAAACCTCCATCTTCTGCCTTCTATATTTCGAGTCAGCAGATGTGAGGCTCGCACATGTTCCAAGAGTTTAGTGCTTCCGGTGCAAATATTTAAAAAGAACCTATTTATTAGCATTTCGCATCCTCGAATCTTGAAATTGAATCAACACTTTAAGGAATTTTCGCGGACTCTAGCATCCTAATGGCAACGAGCACTCAGAGAAGTGTACGAAATGCAACGATATATATTTAATCAGTTAATTTGCGCGATTTCTATTTATGAGCCGTATGGGATACATTTCTCCTTACCAAATTCACAGTTTTATTTTCGGCAATCATCTACTGTTGAGGTCGTGGTGTTTGTGGGTTTTACAGCGCCCCTTATTCTGACCCAAGACATCCTGGGCATGCACTTTCTACCATCCTACGGGTGTGCTGCTTTCTTATCCTTGGCTAGTCACTGCTTCAGGATGTGCGTTGTTTATGACTAATCTCTCGTTACTGACCCGTTATTTTGACGTTCACTGACGTTTTTAGCGCATTTTCTCATTTATGGAAAAAATGCACTATTGTGCTCGCCATGTCCGTCCGTCCGTCCGTCTGTCCGTGACCTCAAGTTTTCGTCGACGGGAAAGTGCGCTCTCTGTCACTCACTGCAGTGAGTACTGAGTTATATTTTTTTAGAATTTTAAGTTTTATTCTTGGTGTTGCGTTTCATTTCATATCGTGCTACATTTTTTGTCCTGCAGCACCTCGGATACTGGGACCAGTCCCAAAACACTGAGCGCTGAAATCTCTACCTTTATTTTTGTAATAATGATCTAGCTCTTTATAGTTAGCTGACTGAAACATCATTTCCAAGTACATGTACGTCTTGCGAACGATTTATCAATGTACGCTATCTATTTATGGCAGAGAGATTAGAAGTAAGATTTATCTTCCTTACTCGATTTTTTTTACCGAGGCAATAATTAGAATATACGGATAATTAGAAATTATTTTGTTCGTTGATGGTTATTTGGCCCAATTTTTGAGTGCAAATTTGCTGGTTGCGTTCTCCTTTTGTGTGATTGCAAAATAAAGATGTTTTCGTACTGAAATTCCTAGAACTTCGGAGAACATCCAACTCTAGAAACTGTATTGAAGCAGAAGGAATATCGAAAATATCTTATAGAATGCTTTGAAATACACTTCGAAAGTTGTTTTGGTTGTCTCTTTCACGTTACTGCACAACTGAGGCCTCACTCTTGGTCTCTTAGTCTTCAAATACGGAGAAATACAAAGGTTGAGCGAAGGAAAAAATACTTAGGTTGAGCAACATCCTGCGGCGGTGCAGTTGTGAAATGTTAGTTTGATCTTAGTTAGCGAGACGCTCATTGTTTTAGCTATTTCCTTCGGTGCAGCGACCAGAACTTATTAATTTATTGTTACTTGGTGTACCCTATACCTAGCCATCGCAACATAGGTCAACATTTCATCTCTGGATTTCCATCCTTATTCTTTTGACTGTTCAAAAAAATAATATTTGTGAAATTTTCATAAGATCTTAGAACTCTACTCAAGTGCTGACAGTGGAATCCGATATCATATTCGAATGATCTATGGAAATTGGGATTCAACATTGTCAATGTAGACTCTGTCGTCAATGTCATGTCGCACTGTTTCCCGTTGAATAAAAATTCATACCTATTAAATTTTGTTGTGGTGTTCGATCAGATTATTCAAGGAAAAATCAATGGTTAATATTCGCTTGAAAAAAAAAATAATAAGAAAGGCTGTTAAAGTAAATACATTAAATGTCACTGAGTCCTTGAGCTCTTATGACGAGATTCACATCGTCGGTGACGTGATAGGCTAATTTTGTGACGTCACGTCACGCGTTTTATCCTATCCATCCCCACACGCTTCCGATTTTATAGCCGGATGCTAAGCGAGGTACGCGTTCCTTGAAAGCCAGTTGGCTGCTTCACACAAAGGATTTTAGGGTGTGAAGGATTTTTAGGATTTTTAGCTTCATTAATTCTCATATTGTATGGTACTTTATGCTTAATATTGATCGTTTCATCAAACATATTCATCCTTCATATTTTTCTGCACTGTGAAACTTGAAATTGTAGTTCAATTTTTTGTACCCTTAAATTATTGCAAGAAAAATAATTATATGTGTCTTGCGAATTGATTTTTAAATTTTCACTGGGATTGGTCTTTCCTATCAATAACTTGTCATTTGTCCGATTTGTGCATTGTGGTGGATTTCTTTCTTGCTTGTAATTCTACTATTTATAGTTGATCAATCGTTGTCTACTAATTTTCGATTCGTTACTACTAGTCGTAAAATGCATTTGCAGTTTAGGCGAAGCTTCGTTCTAAATCTTTAAGCCCCTCATATTCAGTTGTCAGCAGCATGCTCGGTTTTTTTGGCCACCGGAAGCCTCAATGGTGATGGTCGGCTCGGGAACTCCATGCTCTCCTTCGACGACATTTTATCTCTGGCTTTGTGCCCAGGATATGCTGCTTCAATTTTTTTGCCTCATTCCGTACTTCTACGTACGACAAATATATAATTAGTCGATTTTCAGGCCTTTTAAATCTATATCGGATCTTGCGCAGTTAGAAATTCTGCATTCGGATGTTCTACAATCGATGTGACGTTGCCTTTATTTTTCTCTTCAGTTGCCACTCGAACGAGCGTCTGTTCTTGCGAGACCTTGTCTCGTGCAGCGTAGGCACGAGTGGGGGCAGACTTGCTCGTTGGCTGCAGCCTGACTCGTACGTGGACGTGAGGCAGGCAGAAGTTATCTACTCCAGGGACGATCTGAGGGCAGGGTGGCCTGCCATCGTCACCATCATAACCAAGGATCAGTATTCTGAAGTCGTCTTCGCACCTTCTCTCAAGGTGGCTTTAATCATTGACACTTCAACTGAAATGGCTCACGGCATATTTGGCTTTACATAGATCTGTATTTATGTGACCAAATTTGTATTTTTTCTGCTGTGTAAACTAGAGACCAATAGAAGATGTATGCTGATGTTTTTTCCCATCCTTTCATTGTTCATCATGCTTGGGTATACTTTGTCACTGTAATCGGCCTTTTGTTACTTCCACTTCAGATTTTTCTCTAGCCCTGTTACCTGATTGTTGTCACTGAGTTATTTTATGATTGACTATCACTTATTTGATTGTTGTCACTGAGTGACTGTTGCCTGACTGTTGTGTGGTCCAGATCGAGGTGATGTCCGTACCGGTGCTGGAGGGCGGCCAGAAGGACAAGCTGCCGCGTCGTCTAAGTCAGAACATCCCCGACAGCATGACTTTCGGAGGGCAGCCTCAGCCCTGTCTCGACACGCCTTACTCCATCACCATCCGCGAGAAGATGTGCTATTGTGCCATAACTATGATGAAGGTTCATATAACCATTTTCATATAATTTTTTGTGAATATGTATGAATTTATTATAGGTAGTCGCTGTAATTTACTTTCAAATGGATAAGGAATGATTGAGTTTTATCTTTTCGAATCCTTAAACATTATTTTCTCTTGCATCATTTATGCTTAAGCGGGTATTTTATTTGCGCTACGTTTTTTTCAAATGTAGTAGTACTTCAACATGCATGATGTTTAATGTTTATTGAAGAAATCTTGGATACTGTTGAACAATACTAGTAATAAAAGTTATTTTTGTAATTAACTCGGAGGATTGGCGCTGACCACTGTGGCCCACTATCTCTAATTCCTTGTATGCACTTGTAAATTGTCCTCAAAATTGGAATGATAAGAAGCTAAAACCATTTAATATCACTAAACGAATATTGACTTTCATGGAATGAGTCTTCAATCATTTTTAGCCTCAATAATTCTTCAGAGAATAAATTGTTGCAGGCCTATGAGAAATACTCGTTCGAGGAGCTTCGGTACGTGTCACCCACCCTGCAGCGGCCGACCGAACACATGATGGTTCGCTCGAACGGCGACGGCAGCTATACCTGCAACTGGACCCCTGCCGCCCCTGGCTGCTACAGCCTCCACATCACCATTGATGGCTACGTCCTCGATAAAGTACGTCACATGCTTACTGGAAAAAAAATACATCCATGACAATTACACCCCTTTTAGTCTATTCGTTGTGCGCTACTTTAATTTTTAATTAAAATTAATTTATTTAAAACTGTTTCTTTATGTAGGTATCTTTTGTTGCAGCAGCTTCTAATGCATTGCAGCAGCACTGTTCGATAAAGAACTTCAGCTGCTTCTTGTACTGTATTAATAACTTTGAACTCATTCATAGAGCGCTACCTTGATGAGTTAGTTTATGGGAGGCTATCATTGGCGGTGCAAAAATATCGTCAACTTCTATTCTACATATCCATGATGCCTGTAATAATGCCTGCATTTTGAGACATGCTGCATAGATTCAAAATATTGCAGCTATGAAAGAAATTTGTTATATTGCATCTTAATTGTACTTTTTCATTAAAGCAAGCCGATAGTATTTTTGACTAAGCGCATGGTGCTTATCTGTTCAAGCTTGAGATACCATATGGTAACTATACCATCCTCTATACCATATACCATTTGGTATATGGTATATGGCTTGAGATACCATATAATACATCATTGATACATTTCCACATGACAGCCTTATAAGATGGAGGTGAAGGAGCCTCCACAGGGCGTGGTGCCGCCCCTACAGAGCGCCCTGAAGAAGGCGTCCCAGGCGCCGTGCAAGGCACGCAAGTTCGTGATGCCACAGAGCGCAGGGCTCAGGATCAGGACGCACCCGTCTCTGCAGAGCGAACAGATTGGCCTTATCTCCTACAATGCCACCGTGTCGTTCTCAGACGAGGTTCTTTGCAACATCCCCTACTAAATTAACTCACTTGTAGTAAAATTGTTTATCTCAAAAATTGTACCGGTGAACACTGTAAAATTTCGTATGTCCTTAGTTGTTACTCAAACGTAAGGCTGAATGATTGACAATTATTAATATATTGATTGACCATAATATTTGGTTTATCGCCGAGCTGCTCTATTGTTTCGTAGATTGATTAATTGTTTATTAATCTCCCTAAAGGGTCATTAGACTCTAGTCAAACAAAATGTGTTTTAAACTCGTGTGGCTTATCCTGCTTTGAATTGCAGATCCACAACACGGACGGTATTTGGCTGCGGCTGACGCCGGAGTGCATGCAGCAGTTGTGCAGCAGCAGCGCGCTGTCCGGCGGCAGCAACAAGCAGCGACCAGCTGAGGCTTGGGTGCTGCAGTACAACCAGCACCTCGGCAAGACTCTGCTCGTTGCCCACGAAGATCCCCTTGCCAATTCCAAGCAGGTAGGCTTGGCTCCTACGTTGTACATGATTTTGTTATAACTATGGATGAATTACCTTTGTTTTCGAGAAATTATATCATTTAAATTCAAGTATTTATATTTTTTCTTGCTTTATTTGCAAATTAGGCACGAATTTGAATGCAAAGAAAATGCCAGGTAAATTCATCATAACCTTCATCCACAATTTTAATAGATCTGGTGCGTTATCAGTTCAAAAAATACAAGAAAACAAGTACAATCAATAGAAGGACTAGATTTACATAGATAAGATTAAAACCTAAATTGACTAGTAAAATGACAAATCAATGTGAAAAGTGCAAACTCACAAACAAACTAGGAGGCTAAGTTTTTCAGCTAAGAATATTTCTAGGCTCAAATATTAAAGAATAGCCAGGATCCTGACCGTCAAGATATGGCAGATTGTGCGTCGCTAACCTCATGACGCAGCTGTGGTATCTTTTCTATTATAATGTTTGCAAATTTATCACGATTCCATAAATTACAGCTTCTCGAATAATTAGTTTTGCTTCAGGAACAAAAAATACTCTAGTATCGAGCTTAGGTTGCAAACGCAAGATATTCTATGAATCGAATTGCATTCTAATTAAACTTTTGAAAAAAGCTAGCCCACATTTACCGAGTTTTTTTTCTGCAGTTTTGATACTTCAACATGAAGACTTTAATATTTAAAAATTCCTCTCACTTGTATTTCAGGTGGCAAAGCGAATTTTAAACAAAGTTATGTATTTTCCAGGAATGTGTTTAACATATTGTTTAATTCCACACAACTAACTTCTCACCTCTGCTCAGGACATGTCCGAGGACTCGATAATGAGACGACGGGAAGTACTGGGCGGTCCAGCAAATGCAGAGGACGCGTGTCAAGGGGTGAACTCCTGGCTCCCAGACAACCCGTCCCAGCTGGCAGAGCTGGACGGGCGTGTGGACGTGTACACGGTCGTCAAGTGCGGCCTGTCGGGCCACAATATCCGGAGTCAGGCCAGCTTACGGGCGCCGCCTGTAGGTATGCTCGTGCAGAGCGACTCCATCACCACCGACTGCATGATCAACAACAGCGAGGGTTAGTCGATCATTTCATCAATACACTAAATGGATACACATCATTTTGAAGGGCATAAATTATTAATACAAATGAAAATATTTATCAAACGAATGAAATGTTTCATTACAGAAATTTTTGCGTTGACAATATATTCAATTCAACTATTTTTTTATACCATAGGGAGTTGGGTTCGACTAGACGCGGAGAGCACCCGCAAATATTGTTTTACTGACGGCGAAGCTTGGTCGCTCGCCGAGTCGCGAGGCCACACGCTCTTCCTGCAGTGGCAAGGCTCGCGTCCCCAATCCAGTGAGACTCTCAGACTCCCCACTTAATTAACTTGCATTATAAATAGTCGCTCAGCAGGTTTAATCTATCAGTACAGATAATTTTGCTTTGTTTCGGCTGATTATCGTCGCGTCACTATCTCCCGCACTGATTTAACTCGCTTTTTAATTAGTTGCTCAGTACCTTAGTAAGCTTAATCTATCTGCCAAGATAAAAATTTTGTTATGGTTGGCTGATTGGCAATTCAACTGCCTACGATTCAAAAATGTCTTTGCTTCTGCGGAAATTTTTAAATGCATGTTAAGATTGCGACTTCCTCCAGAAAAAAGAGAACCTGACGTCTGCCATTTCTGTCGAAATATTGAACTAATTTTATATCAATAATGTTTTTTCTTGAAGTGTAGGGTACCGCATATGACATTTTCTTAAAAAGTTTTATCAACAGACGTTCCATGATGCTTATTAAAGCATGATGCGCTAACAAGCACACAGGAAGTGTAAGAGAAAAGGTTATGATATAATCTTAATACCAACAGACATCAGTGGGTTAGGGTTCAACTTCGGCTCGGCAGAGAACAAGTGCACGCCGCTGCCTGCGTTTCTCTCCCACTCCGCCCTGTCGCCTCCGTCGCAGCCGTTCGTTTTTGGGGCTCTTGGTTCGTAGCTCCTTTCAATTTCATTTCTTTGCGCCCTCCTCTCATTTGTTTTAAGCTCTTAATACTGAAACTTTTGCATGCCGAAGCTTCGATGACAGTTGATTTTTTCAGCAAGTTTTTTTTCGGGTTGAATGACTTTAAATGATGATCTTGTTAAGCTAAAATAAAGCTAGTCTATGACATAATTGGCAAGATTTATTTACAGCTTGTATTTTAAATTCTTTTAATTTTACGTCAAAACCTCTCGTTAGCTTGGGTTTCAATATTTATTAACTGTGTTAATGACCAAGTTGGTTCACAGGTCCATCTATGCTGCGTGGTCGCGGCGATGGCAGTGCAGCTGAGAACACGGAACCTGCCGCTACCAGCGACTCTGCTGAGACTCTCGATGTCAAATCTGGTAAGATGTGACCCATGTTCTTTTTTTCCACTGATATGTGAAATGTTTATCCCTCTCTTACCAATCGTATGTTTGCATTTGAATAAACCTTTGTATGCAATCAAAGTTGTATTTGTGTTATGGGAATATCTGTTGAAAACAATATTAAGGCTGTAATATTTTTTCTCTTTGCAGGCATTGATGATGCTACTGTGGACTGCAAGCCGATTATGTCAGATGTCAAGGTTTGTCCAACAGGAAAAACTTTTCTCAGATAGAATTTCCTGAGCTTTGTGCATAGAAAATAATGCATGAAAATGAATTTATCTTTTTACCTGAAACTTCCGCTAAATACTGTGTGAATTTCAGGACCCTTGTGTGGTCTCATGATCGTGATACGAAATATATCACGTTTATCATTCCATGAGATTGTTGATAGTTGCAAATCTCTTTTAATACTCGGTTTATATAATGAAGGCATTGATGACATGTAACTTGACTTCTCAATTTGGAAATTAATTATGCAGGAATTTTTTCAGTCAGTTTTCCCAACAAATAGCCCTCGTACGGATACTTCCTGCCGAGTAAAGTGAGGATATATTTATTTCTGGTCCGACTCGTCTAGTATATTACAATTTTGGTGCAAATATCTGCATGGAACTCTTCGCTTATATCCAGACTAAACTGCTCGTTTTTCTAGGATGGAATGGGAAGTTGCAAATTTTCTGCCCTCAACCGCTGGCTTAGAGAAGAGGCACAGAAGCCTGCCTCAGCTGCTGCCACGGATCCTAAAGCAGGCGGGACTGTCACTCCTACTGAGGTGTCCAGCATGGCACCTCTTGCTGTCACTTCGAGGTAGACCATCAGATTATCTGCTCAGGGCGCTTATGTTCTTGCCTGACCAGCCTAATTCTTGGATCGTTCATTTTGTTAATTGTAATTTCTATTTATAAAAATCAGTCTATTGTTCATAGACAACTTATTGCAAAGCGTTTCAATCAACGATGCCTTATTTCTTTTGTATTGCACTTATTAGCTTGTAATTCTCGAGATCTACATATATACCATATATACATCTGATTACTTATTGTTCCCCTGAGGATTAGTATTCTCTCAAATGTGCACTACGAAATTTGTTCAGGTAACAATGTAATGCATAATTCAGATTCGTCCATTGTACACATGGTAAGAGTAATCACTGTTACGCTTCCTCTGTACATGATCAGCGGTGTTCGTGGAGACCTGCCCCAAGAGCTGCAGGGCGTGTCTGTCCGAGAGCTAGTGAAGGCAATCGGCGAGTCCAGGGCCAACGGAAACGGAGCGACTCCACCGCGGACGCCGCCACCCACACCACGAAAAGTTCCGCGCTCGCGCTCAGCCAGCCCGCGCACTTCATTGGCTACGGCAGCCAGTGTCGGAGTAGGTGGCACTGCAGTGCTCAGTGCCAGTGGCAACCACTTGACTGCCACCACTGCACTACCAGCGGTCAAAAGTAATGGTAGCCTGGCCGCCACTTTTGCACTCCCTGCGAGCGACTCTCTCCTACCTGAAGCATTGGAAAATTTAAGGAGGAAATCTGGATCGTCGAGCCCTGTTCCAGGTTCGTATTTTTAAATGATGCTATCTTTGATTTATCAGCGACTCGTTAATCTATTTATTGTGTATACCTAATTGACTACGATATTGAATAGAATTGATCTGCTTATGCACCCGAATCGGGCAGATGACCTTCATTATTCTACTTAAAAGCTTCAAATATATTACTATCAAGTTGCTAGATATTAGTTTTGCGGGCTTGTTATTTTGTTATGAAAACGATGGCTACAGCGCGAACGGTCAACCACCGTTTGCGGTTTGTTTATACTGCTTTTTGTGTATTGTTACCCTTTGTTGCGCGTTGCTTCTTCATGGCAACCCATGATATTTACATAGAATAATTTTTGCTTTATGTTTACCGAATGAAGAATGCATTTTTATTGCAGGCCGGTGCGGTGACAGCAGGAGTGTCACCAGCAGCGCTTCTGTTCCCTCAGCGGCCACTAACGGCGACACCAGCGCCTTGCCTCTCTGCTCAGCGGCTGGTGAGTTGGACAGAATATTCTGGGAGACTGCAGATTTCCTTTGTTTAGTTAATAAACATGTTCGTGAATTGTTTTCAAATTACTGATACCAACGTGGCAGCCGAACCAAGTTTTTTTTTCTAATAACATTCCTACAACAATCGCCTCAACATTCCACTGATTAGTCTACATGAAACATTTGCTAGTAAGTGCTTTATTGATTTATTAACAACTTGATGCATTAATTTGAAAAAAATGTTTTCAACTCTATTAGGAAGCTGCTGTTTCTCACATTCTAGTGGTGGGTTACAAGCATGCCACGGCAGTTTCATCCATGCTTGCTTTGCATTTATTATTTGTGATTTCCCTATGTAATTACGATTTTTATTTTATCTGTATTTAATTCTACAGTGACGCCTTCCATTGGTGTTCCTTCTTCTGTTGCCGTTGCTGACTCTCTGGCTGCCGGTAACTCACTATAAATGGGAACATTCAAACCATTTCTGATAAGATGACAGTCATCTCGTTAAGTATTTTAATTTATCTAACGATTAACGACCTTATGCTTTCATTGTTACTCGGTTTGATCGAAAATATTACTTTCTATTGTCAGGGTAGAAAGACGAATTTTCTTCGATAATAAAAGTTTTATAATATTTCAACAAAAAATTGTAACGGGAATGATATTCATGATTCGTGCATATGCTGACCATATTTGTTTCTTTTTTCATCTCATTCTGTTAATACCTAACATCACTTATGTTTCAAATTTATATTTTTGATACTAATTATTAATTGAATATTCATTGAAGAAATGTAATTGTTAATATTTTGTGTGTTTCTCAAAGTGGGCGAGGCGAGTGGCGACGTCCCTAGCGACACGAGCGCCCTCGTGTCCAGCCTGACGCAGGACATGTCGCAGTCAGCAGCCAGCAGCGCCCTGTCCTCGCTTGCCCCGTCAGCGGACAGCACCCCCAAAAAGGTCTCGGACTAATCCATTCAATATTTATACATTTTAATTCTTCTCTCTCAGTTCATGTTAAATTTGCAAGTAAAAGAATTACTAAAGTTTTTTAAGTGGTAACTGTGGAGGTTATTTCGTTCATGCATAGATATCAACTGCATAATGTGAACTATTCTGGTTTTAAAATCATCGTACTGAGCCGAATACTTGCTCTTATGAAATGACACGAGTGATTCATTCTTAATCTATGCCATTTTGCACAGTAAATAATGAAATTTTCTTTGATTTTTAAATAATGGTATATAATATGAAAACAATGCTCTGTCTAAAAAGGAATCTCCTTCCTATCTTGAATGATAAGTATTATGTTTCCATACAGTGTGTGAAAATTCCTATCTGCGTTACAGCTGCATGCGAGGGAAGAAACGCATAATAATTTGCCGTTGTTATCACTCAGGAGCCGAGTCTGTCACTGTCTCGCCAAGTAACGCAAATGGCGACACAAACGAGCCCCGAAAATGGCCTCAAGTTCAGCGTCGGTTCCACTGGCAGCAACGGAGCCTTGGGCAACGATGGGGTGCGTCCGTCACCGAAATCTGTACGCAAAGAGCGAAGTGTCAAACAACAGTCACGGTCTAAGAGAGACCGCATCATGTCGCCCTCTTCAGTTCCAATAACTCTTTCGGAAAAAAACATGAAAGATAAAGTAAAGGAAGCCATGAGCCCTTCTGTAGCAGAGTGTATGCGCGCAATTTTCGCAGCTTTCTTGTGGCATGAAGGCATTGTTCACGATGCTATGGCATGCGCTTCATTCTTAAAATTCAATCCAAGTTTAACAAAGCTTGCGGCGTTTCAGTGGAGGCCTGATACCAGAGAACGATCGAAGCCTGAAGTTAAGCTCACTAAAGAGCAGAAAGCTCGACAAAGACATTCCGTAGAAGTAAGTGCTTGTAATTATTTGAACGTTACGCCTCAGAATACCGAAGATTTCTTGATCCCAGGAATTAGTGGTATCAATATGAATGAAGTGCCTCGAGCTGCAGAAAAAGGCGACTGTGCAACCGAAAAACGACCAGATGAGGTTATGTCGAATTGGATTGGCTACCAAACTTCACAGAAGTTAGCAACTGTCATGGAAGGTTGTGGAGGCATTGACTTTCCCGAGTTGCCGCTGGTGTTGCGGCACGTGGTTTTGTTGTGGGAGGAACTCGCTAGCACGTGCTTGCGTGCTATCGCGCAGCAAATGGTGTTACCTTCACCAACTCTTCCTTCCAAGGCTAAAAAGACGGACCGCTTCCGCGACCGCTCACAAAAAGAAAAGAAACACAAGCACAAGAAAAAATCCGTTTCTCTTCAGGTCATAAACGACGATGGCACCGAAGAGGAGAACCGAGGCTTACCGCAGTGTACCCCCGTGACCTGCGATCTCTGTAACAGAATCATGTCTCCACAGAGCAGCAATAACCACTTGTACATGGAGCACCCTGGATGTGCTGCTCCGTCACACGGCTGCGGATACGTCGGTGGCCGCTGGAAATTTTTCCCTTATAAGGGCCACTTTGACCAGCCTTGCGGCATGATCGTCAGGGGCTGCTACCTCCTCTGTTGGACGTGTCGTCACAAGTACAAGACTGAGAATGGCATCAAGATTACCAGTAAAGAATATAAAGACGCCGCGGTATGTCGCAAAATAAAACGAAGCGCTGCTGCTGCTGCTAAGCCAAGCAAGCTCATGTCTCCTGGCGGTCAGGCTGAGACGCACCTCATAATGCGCAACAACGCAATGTTCCTCCTGGACCTGGCCAGCTCTGCGTCAGCCCCTGTTCTGCCTCAACGTCTGCACAAGCGCTCCCCGTGCCCTGTTGCTGGTGCTGTCGAACTCAGTCCGGATAATTCTCCCTTTCCTCAGGTCAGTTCAAGATTGGATTATATTTATAATGAAGATAGAGCCAGCTAAGGGTACTGATGAATGATTAAAATTATCCACTGAATTTAATTACATTGTTTAATGTCAAGTAGGTCCAGCTTGTAGATAATATTGATATTAAGACTAATATAGTCGGTATATTTTCTTTATTATCAACGAAACGATCGTATCTTACACTGCATTGTTCTGTAACTCGTGCTGTTTAGGATAGCCATTTAAATTCATTCCCAATGTGCAGGTGGCTTTTCAGTGCCTGCACACTCTGAACTGCCAGCAGCAGCACCTGAATCAACTTCGGGAAGACCTCCTACTGCACCAGACGCTGCAGGAAAGCAGCGGGAGCACGGGACATGTCTTGCCCTCCCGCCACAACGCCAACGCCTTGCTCAGCATGTGCGACCTGCAGTCTGACGCGGGAGCGCCGAGGGACCTCTCCTCGTACTCACCATCTAGTGAGTTCCATTCATTGCTCATGCGCGAATAAAGCATGCATTTGTCTGATTTCTTGTCTGAAGTATTATATTTTAAATTTTGTAGTTAAACATCCATTAATTTGATTTTATTCGTTTGCGTCAAACTTCCTACAATTTTAGGCTTCGTACTTGATGCGTTGAGAATGATAAAAAGTAACTATTGTAATATTTCTATCCATTCTGTTGTGCTCGCTGATTAATATTAAAATTGAAGAGCCTTTTTCTTTGATTCGTTTTGGTATGCAGTTCGTTCTCAAAACAACATGATGAATATGCTGTTTTTCTTATCATTTATTTCTATTTCTTCATCATTGATGTCATCTCTCTAATTTTTTGTGATATTTTTGAGCAGCCTCAATGAAAATGCTGAGGTCGAAATTGAGCCCCAGCGAAACAATGACGAAAACTGGTGAAAAATTTGATGCAAACTTTTTCGATTAATAAGTTTGTAGATCTGAAAACCATGTGTAATTTTGCAGACGCAAGTGTGCATCAAGACTCGTCCGGCAGCGACTCGGACATCCCTCGTCCGGCCAACGCGCGTCCGTTGAACAGATCAATTTCAGTGACCGTAGGCACAGCGTCTGGTCAGGACTGGGGCTCAGTGGCCACTGCGGCAGCTGCTGCTGCGGTTCAACCCCCGGAGGGTGAGATAGAGATTGCTCGGGCCTTGTGAATTGTTTATGCTTTTCATTCTGAATGCTTCGTAGAATAATAATAATTATGGTACTTAGGTTAAAATATTATCCCATTAGTTTATAATAAGTATGAAAATATACCACTAGTTAGAGGCATGGTTTCCACTTTGGTTTGAATTTTCATGTTAGGTAAACAGCTGGGTTGTGTAAACTATTATACTTGGCCTTTTGCTTTCATAATGAATTTACATAACTTATGAAAACTTGTATTGCGTCAGTAATTTTATTTGAACTGCTTTTCAATAATTTTTTATTCTGCACTTATCTCTTCTTGATGTCTTATCTGTTCTTGATGTTGAATTGGACAAATTAACTCAGAGTGACGATTGTTCTTGCTCTCAAATAAAGTTTGTTGCTGCAGTAATGGACGTGACCCCGTCGGTGGGGACTGGTGGAGGCAGTAGCCTCAGTAGCGCGTCCCCACATCCCTCCCTTGCGCCTTCCTCCCCCTTCACAGTTGTCCTCAGGAAGAGGAATAACAGCAGCGGCGAGAAGCAGACATGTCAGTTCGCTTTATTTTCTGCCTTAGTACCTTCCCTCCGAGTCAATTTATACTCCATTTCAATTTATATTCTAAGGATGCTTCATGTACTGAGGCGTGTGTTTGGGTTGCTAAAAAATTGTAGCATAAAGCTCTATGTTTGATTCATTTATTATAAGTGTTAAATTACCAGACTATCAGTCATCGGGTATCGGTAGTTACATTAGAACAGCCATCTTCTATGACTAGTTTACTCATATCATTGAAAGGGACGTGACTGGAATTTGCAAGCATCCTGACTGTCCTTTCCAAATATGCATTTTCTCGGTTGTTGGTTTATTTTATACCATTTTTACATGATCAATATTGCTTACTTGTTTTCGACGTGTCTCATTTCCCTCGCCAGGGTGATAATGATTAAAGTGTTTTCCGGTATTTACTCAAATGCTTTACTGCTGGCAGTAAGTAGCAGCGGCAGTATCGGTGGTGTCGGCAGTAGCGGCTCTGCGGGAAGTAGTTCTCTGCTGGCACATCCCTCAACTTGGCTAGAACGTCTCGCTGCTGGAATTGAACGCTGTAACTCCGGTACCGCGGTTACCAACACTAACTTGAGTGAAAGCACCAACTCGTCGAGTTCGAGCCGCTGCAGTAATGTGTCCTCAAGACCTGTCATGGCGTTCATCTTCCAGCAACACGACCTCGAGACGCTCGCTTTCGCCATGCGACATGCCACGCGCAAGTCGGCAGCCAGAGTCTACGGCATGCAGGTCTTATCTCTTTCTATGTTTTTTTCCCCCGCAAGTATCATTAGTAACTATTTAGACCATTTACATGTCAAAGTGATGTCTTATAGCTATTACCTCCACTGCACTTTCTTAATGTCCATGATTATGCGGATCGTTGAAAACTCATCCGCGGTAACTAAAAAAACTATCGAGGAAAATATAATATTTATCCCTTATTCAGATTTGACAAAATATTTGACCTTACTTCTTCTAGGCTTTAAACTGGCTGCTACGAAGCGTGACTCAGCCGACGTGCCTGCATGACTTGCTCTGGAGCTTCGCCTCTGCCCTGACCCCTCGTCACACACCCGCAACCCAACAGCAACTGATCAACCCCGAGGATGCCCACGAGCCTGACCATCAGAACAACAGGCACGCCAACATCATCGACATGGTGAGCCCTTGACGTGCTGTCATGGCAACAACTTGGAAACCTGGAACAGCCCTCCAAGTTGAATCGTGTCTATTTTTGACCAATTGCTCCTCGATATATTATGAAACTGTCTATAGAAATAATAAATCGCCGTGACTAATTGCAATTTTCCACTATTTTGGAATCATGAAACTTTAAAATCCATTTTCGACATCTGCAGTTTTGTCTTTGGCTGCATTGACTATTTATGTTGCCTTTTAAGACCAAATATTTACTGATTTTTCCCAGGGAAATATCCTTAGATTATCTTCAAACTCTGATTGATCTTTGTAAATACACATTTTCTTTTGGTGTTTTAGAGCCAAACAAATTATTAAATGTTCCTATTTTCTGCACACTATTTCAAAATCAGCTCGAAGACCAATACAGTGGAGACTCGTTAGCATATATACGTTGTTGCAGGGCGAGAAAGATATGGTTGTGCTAGAACACCCATTGAGTGACGTCACCCTTGCTGGTGATGCTGTGCACCCGCTCCCCAGCACCTTCCACCTGCTCCTGCAGACCATCGCCGACCTCATGATGCTCCTGCCTCCTGGCCAGCCGCTCCAGATGATGGCTGTCAGGTAGTAATTCTCAATCTTACTGCAGACTCGAACCTGTCGATAAATTTGTTGTTTTGATAAATTAGTGAATTTTTCTGGCTATTCAGTGTATCTTAAAAATAAAATGGTGTCAAAATAATGCGACTTCCACCGTATATCATATTTTTACATAACTTTAGAGTTCCTGATTATTTGTTGGATAACTGAATTTATCTTGTTTTGGTTGGTCATGGATACTCTCCAATCGGCTAAAATGAAATCGTTTGAATTATTTCTCGTGTGTAACCTAGTTTTCCGCGATCAGCTGCTGCATGCAATTGTAGGTTTTACAACAGGTTACTCTCATGAATTAGTTCAATAGTTGATAAATCCTTCTAGATGTTTCGGGCTGCGCTTCACCCCCGCCGACCATGACTTCCTCCACCAAAGCCACGTTTTCTCAAACATCTCGAAAATTCTTTCGCTATCGGAAGAAGTGCTTGGGGCTACTGATGAAGCTACCTCCATCTACGATACTGCACACGTGCCTGTAAGATAATTATAATTTACTTTCATTTTATTTTCATTTTTATATTTAATCGAGTATACTGCTCCTGTATATTTCGAGTTAGAACTGAATCCTCACTGACACGATATGTTCGCAGTAACATGCTGAATTTACCCAGCAGGTGACGAGCGTCGTTGATCGTCTTGTGGACTTGACGTGTGAATGCGAGCTGCGCACGTCATCTCGTCCTGCTATGATTGGATCTCTGAGGGATTACTCCACGGAGACCTTCTGGGAGTCTGGAGATGAAGACCGCAATAAGACCAAAACCATAACCGTGTCGTGGCGGCCGCAAGTCCGTCCTGCTGTCATCTACGTGCACATCGACAACGTCAGAGATCTTGGCGTGAGTTTTCCGAGCACTTTCGGTCTTGATGAAGATCCGTTCTTTGATGTGCGAGAAAGGAAGCTTATTTTTTGTATTCGTTTCGGCTATTCTATACGATTCTATTTATTATTGAACACCCACAGACACGGATCACCAACGTGCTATTCCGCGCATGTAAAGGCGAGGAGGCTTCGGTGGTGCGGCAAGTCGAACTCGACTCCCGCTTCACAGGCTGGCTCCACATGGTGCTAGAAGGTTGGCTTTGCTTCTTATGTTCATCCGTGTGATATTTTCCTAACTTTAGTGGGTTCCAATCGCGAGATGTATAACTCTTTCAGATAATTTGAATGCGTTCTACAATGGGGTATACTTGTATTAATCCCAATGATTATATTCGATTTATCTATTATCGATAAAATGAATGTTTTTCTACGTTTTTTCATAGCCGATTAACACCACATTCAATACATAGTTTGAAAATATAACAAAATTGTTATCTTTTATACATAGGAACCACACCCCTTTTTTATGTTTAGAAACCTATCAAGTTGTCGTTTGATTCCACCTACAGGTTCAGAAAACTCGTGTTTGCTCATCGAAATGAAGGGCCCTGACGCGTGTGTGCGAGTTCGTCAGGTCCGTGTGTTGGGTGGCGAAGTGACGGTAGCAGATGACGGTGAAGGTCCTTCGTCTGCGGGGGCACCTGATGCCCTCGACGGCGGAGACACAAGCAGTGCGACGGGCATCATCAGAGGCAAGCTCATCAAGCAGCAATCAGCGCTGGTGCTCCAACACCGCGAGTGTGAACAGGAAACGCTCAAAGTCTTCAGACTTATAACGGGACAGGTATAAATTTTGATTTCAGTTATTTCTTCTACGCTATGTGTCTTGAACAAAATCATTTTCAATACCACACATATGTAAATAATGCCGATCATCATTAAACTAATTTGCTGTGCAACTCGTCTTCAGCTACAAGCATCATCTCGGTTTAAAAGATTCATTATTTCTTGAACACTGAAAATAATCAGAAATTAGCTGACATTTTTATTTCCTTGTATTCTGTTTAGGTATTTGGTAAGCTGATTCGAAGCAGCGACGGTGTTGATCGAGTTCAAGATAAACCAGTCTCAGAAGGCGCATCTAAACCTGAATCATCCACTCCTGCCTCGGCTGGAGTCGGTCAGAGTGATCCCCCTGAAGATTCTGAGAGAAACAACGACCTTCGAGAACACGTCGTTGGTATCCTGTTTTCTAGATCTAAGCTCACGCATCTTCAAAAACAGGTATGTGAAGCTCTGGAATGTATTTCTTTATGGATGGTAGTTTTGTAATTTAGGTGCTATTGGATTATATAATGGTAATAACTTATATGAAGAAATATTTATTAATGATAAATTATATGAATCTGTACGAATGCAGCTTGAGGAAATCAGAATCGAACGACGTAGAACGCCTTTTATCAAGGGAACGTAAGCAAAATTAAAGACGCTCCTACTAGTGATAAAAACGAACCCTGTAAATGCAGGTTTGTGCGCACATCGTACAAGCCATCAAGCGGGAAGGCGTGAAGGCTCGTGAGGAGTGGGAAGCAGCGCTGCTGGCCGCCTCACAACAGTCCTGGAACAACAGCAATCATTCCAATACAAACAAAAGCCCTTCCGAAGAAAATGCCTCGTTGCACGTTGCATCAGGACTGGCATCACCTCATGTTAAGCACACTCTGCCTGACACCTACTGCTTCGAGATGCTCTCCATGGTGCTGGCTCTGAGCGGCTCCCCTGTAGGCAGAGCCCACCTGGCGCACCAGGACAGCCTCCTGCGCCACCTGCTCTCTCTCCTGCACACGGGATCTGCCAGAGTGCAGCGGCAGGTGCGTCGTAACTTTGTTCGTCAATTTATGAATGGTTGCTGCAATTGGCTAGATGTGGATTATCTGACACTGGGTAAATATTGTCATAAATATTGTTTCATTATATGTAAGTTTATGCTGTGCTACAGGTTACTACAATTATCACGAATAACATGTTAAGATGAATTTAGCGCCGAACCTGTATTACTCGCTGCTCCATATACAATACGTGCGTCATTTGAAGTCGAGTTGAGTAGCAATCGCTTCATAATCGAGTCATATGACCGTAGGTAAATCTGGACTTCTCTAGAAGACTGTCTCATTTGGTATAAACTATAAAGGAATGGATGACATTGCAAATGATTCTTGGTGTTGTTACTAAAATTTACTGGCTAGCTTTGACTGAAGTTTATAAATTTGTTATCATTGATTGCAAATATTTATCATACGCAAGAACTTGCATCTGCAGGTGGTATCTCTATTTCGCCGCATGCTTGCGGACATTTCGCCGCGCTCACTCGCTGCACTGCTCGGCGTGGAGACTCTCCCTGAGCACAACTTCCCTGTCCTACACCCGCCCACTCCCTCTCCTCCACACGCCGACGCCGAGTATGATATGCACAAGTAAGTCCTTGTATTCAGATTTATTGACAGAGGGCTTCACGCTGCCAAGATTAACATAACCAAATTGATTTGTCTATTTTACCTGATGCTTATAAATATCTGTGCGTTATTTTATAGATCTTATATGACATATATTTTTTTTATGCATAGCTAAAAATACATTCGTTCTAAGTGTGATTTCATTTTAGGTGTGCAAGTTTATTACCCTGTTTATTCTTATACAATACGCAAGAACAACAGAACAAGATTAAATTTAATATCCCGTAAGCTTTTTTTTCGTTCTTTCAAATTTTTGCACTTAGTACCATCTCATCATTATCTTTAACAGCTCAGAAAGAACTCTAACTTGAAATTTTTCCAGGCAAGGGATTCTGGACGTCTTCTTGGCGGTGATAGCCAAAGCCTTGACTGTGCAGCTGAAACAAAAAGGCTCGATCAAGCATGCACATGACAGCCCAGCTGGGAAGGCGTGCATGACGAGCGCCACCCTTGCCTCCATCCTGCCAGCTCCTGTCCGTAACTCATCACGCTGGTGGCTGCAGGGCACCGCCAATCCTAAGCTGGCAGACCTCATCATAAACCTCATCAGGGATATGACGCACGGTAAAATTTCTGAGACCTGGGCCCGAGTCACCAAAAGTGCCATAGCTGAGAACATAATCAATCTGACAAGACTCGGTGATCAGTATCGTTCGTCTCTTCATGCCTGTCTAAGTACACCTACCCTATGGCTTGCACTTGCCTCATTATGCGTTGTGCATCCCGACCATGTGGATGCGCTCTCAAGTACCTCCGCGCCTGTCACCAAGACTACTAAGAATGTAAACGCGGACGGCACTGTGTCTACTGCATCCTCGGAAGTATCGCGCCCCACCTGCGAGAATCATGACGATGGAGAAACTATCGCCTTAGTGCAGTGTGATGAATGTGGTCAGTTGTGCGGGGAATGTGATAAAGTACTTCACTTGCACAGACGACGACGGATGCATCACAGGACAATCCTTCGACACCAACAGCAAGCCATCAAAGTTGATCTCCATGAGGGATGCGGCCGCACGAAACTCTTCTGGCTGCTTGCCTTGGCGGACTCGACAACGCTGAAGGCTCTGCTTGAGCTGCGTTCGGACGGCAATAGTGGGGCTTTACGATACGACAAAGAGAACAATTCGGAGTGTAGGTTCTGTGGATCGCCTGCGCAGACTAGCTTGCTCTCTCCTACTCCTGTTTGTTCAGCTTCTGAGTGCCAAGAGTATAGCAAAGATGCATGCACTGTAATGCACGAATGCGGACACGTCTGCGGAGGTATCCGAGGAGAAACGACGTGTCTTCCGTGCCTACATGGGTGTTCGTCTGCTCCAATGCTTCGGCAGGACGCAGACGACATGTGTATGATTTGTTTCTCAGAAGCGCTCTCCGCTGCCCCTGCGCTGCAGCTTGAGTGTGGTCATGTGTTCCATGCTCATTGCTGTCGAACAGTTCTTGACAAGCGTTGGCCGGGACCGCGCATTACCTTCACTTTTTCACTTTGTCCTATTTGTAAGGTTAACATCAAACACTGGGCACTCGAAGACGACTTGGCGCCCATCAGAGTTCTCTATGAGGATGTGAAGCGCAAGGCTCTCATGCGGATGGAATATGAAGGTGTTTGCAAGCCTGAGATTTCGGCTGCTGCTAGCAATGCCCAAGAATTAGCCACTTATGCCATGGAGAGATACGCCTACTACGTCTGCTTCAAGTGCAAAAAGGTTTGCCTTGAGTATATCCTGGTTTGCGTTCCCTTAAATTTTTAACTTACTGTATTTATTCCACAATTTTTTGCCAAAGGCTTGAAATCATATTGCTTCATGATTGTTTTACAAATAATTTAGAATGAAGATAGGTTTAACGTACACTTGACTGTTTTCAAATGAGTTCGTTTTGTCAATAATTCATCTTCGAATAACATGGTTTCCACAGTGTATGAGTTCAGCACTGCACAATAATGCACTTACTACCGGAAATTCGTTGAGTGATTCAAAAACGACTCTAAGCCTCGTGGTTGTAAGATGTAACGTTACGTTAATCACAAATTATTTTTAGATAGTTTATTTTGTAATTTTAACAGCAAACTCTTTGTGTTACCAGGCTTATTATGGAGGTGAGGCTCGTTGTGACGCCGAGGCTGCTCAAGGAGACGACTACGACCCGACAGAGCTGGTGTGCGGTGGCTGCTCGGATGTGTCCAGAGCGCAGATGTGTCCCAAGCACGGAACTGATTTCCTCGAGTACAAATGCCGCTACTGCTGTTCTGTGGCCGTATTTTTCTGCTTCGGGACTACGCATTTCTGCAACGCTTGCCACGACGATTTCCAGAGAGTCACTAACATCGGCAAGAGCAATCTTCCCCACTGCCCCGCCGGTGAGTTATAAACCATTGAATGGCTTTATGTTATCAGTGTTTGGTCAAATTATTTGGAGAAGTTTTATAGCGTTCACAAATGATATTTCAAAATTTATGATTTTTGTTTATCATATTGTACTGCGTGTTCACTGGTTTTGTAATGAAAGTTATATATAGTAATAGTAATGGAAATGAAAGTTCAAATTTGTAAACCTCATCGCGCAGTTTACGTTAATGAAACGTTATAGAGCTTCATATCGTAGTGTAGGTTGTGGGCCCAGTCCCTTGGAGGTGTTCACTGAAGGAGCTTGGTAGTCCAGCTGTTTGCTAAAAAAATGCATCCTATTGTGTTCACTGACCATGCATTGACTGAAGGAAGCAATGTTGCTCGTAGTACAACTAATACACGTACCTTGAACGGTTTATAAACCTAGCTTAATTGAAACATTAAACCTTCAAAAATTTTAATACGTAGCAAGTTATCATTTTGTTCCCTCTAAGTTGTTGTTTTATTATTGCAGGGCCTCGTGGTGTTCAACTTGCTGGACCTGAGTGTCCTCTCCACATTCAGCATCCCGCGACAGGCGAAGAGTTTGCGCTGGGCTGTGGAGTTTGTCGCAATGCCCACACCTTTTAATAATTTTCTTTTACTTTAGCCTTCCAATTCACCGTGTCAAAACATGCCTATCACAAGTGACTTCAATGAGTATCTTATTAGGCTCCTGATTTATTCTCTAGCGCTCTATTGTTATCCTACTGTCCTAACTTTGCACTCGAAAAAGTAAGGTTATGCTTCTTGTTGGGAAAAATTAACCTCGTTTTCTTCTTTGGTTACGCAACATTGTAACCTCTGGTATTTGCTTTCTGCGTGATGAGAACAAAATGGACGCTAGAATGATTTACCACGTATCGTGATAATGACTATCAATGCCTTGGCCTACCATAAGTTGTTTTGTCAATAAGTAGGCATGATCACTAAAATTTCGCTAACTAATCTAACTGAAAAGAGTCTGACTTGGGACGTGTTAGTTCTAGTCATATTAACTTTGGTGTAGGCGACCGTGAGGGTGATTACTTAAGTATGACTATTCAATGAGACAAGTGGTGCAAGCAGAGTGTGTGAGGATGACTGGACCACTACTGCTCTGTCGCTGCCCTGACTTATATTTTATATTATTTTAATTCAATTTTACACCGGTTATAGATTTAATTTAAAGCGCAGGTGAATTTTATTCTTCTACAGCTGATTTGGTTCTTCTATTGTGCACAGGTTCCAGAAGCAATGATACAACTGATGGATGAGTTAAAGAGTTGATGTATAATGGTGAATCTTCACGAGACTAGTTTAATTCGATGTATTTCTGTATTTGTACGTGGGCGCTTGCTCTGCTCAATCTAAGTCGTATCGTTTGTAGGTCACAATTTCGATTTTTCATGATTACTTAATTAATATTAAGTATGATGTGAGCTGTGAATCTCCCTTTAGTGTCTTCGTTCCATTCCCTTAGTAGGAGAAACTCCTTGTTCTAGTAAAAGGATTATGTGTATATTGGTAGATGATATGTATCATTAAAATATTTTTTGCAGTCTTTCATCTCTAGATGCTTATTTATTTACATTATTGTACAACAACTAGGCCGCTTGTTTGTTTACTGGACGAGTGAGGTCTCTTTCTAGTCACCTTAGCTCTGCTTTTCTACTTATGAGTTATTTTCGAAGAATCTCCATCATCGTCGTGGTGGAGATTCTTCAGGAGTTAGTTGAGTATCCAAACAATTGATGTGTTGAGATAATGCAATAGATGGCTCAGTTGTATATTTTGAGCTTCTTCTTGGCCATTGATTCATTGGTGCGATGATGTATTGTTCGATCGATAGCGTCCCCTCGTCAGACCGTAGAACATATCTCACTCTTAGCATGGTCGTGGTGACAAGTTTTTACTTTGATATCTTGTGATATTCTAGTTCAGCTTTTGCAATTTTCCTACTGGAATTATTCTGGTGAACGTCGCAAACTCGAGTGTTTATAATTTAAGGTTATGCCAGGAAATTATTTAGAAATTAGATTATATGATGACAATTCATTACGTGCAAGCGTTTTCTGCTGAAAAATATTTACGTTTCCAACCAAGCCGTTGTCTTTTACATGGAACCATAAAACTTGTGATCCTTGTGGCAAATTCATCTGCAAATTCAAATGTGTGCCTCCAGTGAGCTGAAGCCTAATTTTCAAAAATAAACTCAATAACATTCTTCGAGTTTGATGTAGACATCGGCTATCTTCCATCCTTTACGTGTCATCTGTTGTTTATCATTTCCTGTGAATAGTTTCAAACATGATTTGTATGACCTTTATTGTATGGCATAAAGATTACCTGACTTTTTAACTATGGGATACCTCATCCATTTATATGGTTAAAAAGTCACAGTTAAGGATATTTTCAGTATATTTCTTAGTGTTTATGTCAATTTTTCGAAATGCTAATACTTATTTGGATTCCGCATATTTAGTATTTAAGATTTTCCCGACTTAGTCAAAATTATCCGGTGCTTGTGCGACCAGGCTCTCCTGACGATACCGTGTGAAATAACGACAATGTCACCGCCACTAGGATGCAGTACATGGCAATCGCAACGCTGGAGTTCATTGTCACGAGAGGAATGTCGATTTGCTGTTGTAGATTTGATAACTCAACGAACAGAGACAGCATGCCAAGTGCCTCTGTCATCTTTAGTAAAGGATGAAAACATCGTTGTACCAAATCAATGTATTTTTATCCTCGACTAGAAGATACTATTTCAGAGAATACTCCTAAATGCTTATAGTTATCGAACTATCAAACAAGAAGTTCATGAGAGAAGAATTTGGTTTATAAATGCTTCACGTCTGAAAATTCATGCAATGTATTTCCTGAACGAGTATCGCTAGAAACTCGCAACCCATTTTCTCGCCCATTGCCTTCTGCTACATATTGCATCGTTCTCCGTTTTACAAATATCCCGAAAAATTTAACCGCTATTCTAGGCGAATAACTACTGACAAAAATTAAAGCATGGGGAATATAATACCATAAAATTAAAGCATGTACCTATTAAAATTAATCGACCCTAACTAACGGATCGGGTCTTCCTCCTAATTGCTTCTAAATTTAACAGTAATGAATTCTATTCCTAACAAATATGGCTGAACAACTTCTAATCAATGTGGTTCAATTTCTAATTAAAGAATCAGTAAAATAACTTTTATATGGTACTTATGTTTTTCGATTTTTTACTCAAGGAAATCAAACTTCTTCTATAGCGCATAGAAATCATCGGAGTTAATCGGAAGTCTACTAATTATCTTTGAAATCGTATTACTATTACCCAGTTACTATCATACTTTGTTGCTTACGCTGCCGACGTTTATGGACTGACTCGACGACGAGCACTCGAGGACAGAACACAGCAGTGAGCAGAATGACGAGCAGGATCTCGACGATGATAGCCATCAGCACGAGCAACATCACGTTGTCGGGACCGCTGTAATGAGAATTTTAGCACAATCTTTTCAAAACATTCAGTATCAAAAAAGTTACTGCAAAAAATATATATAACTCAGAACTCACTGCAGTGAGTGACAGAGAGCGCATTTTCTCGTCGACGAAAACGTGAAGTCACGGACGGACAGACAGACGGACATGGCGAGCATAATAGTGCATTTTTTTCATAAATGAGAAAATGCGCTAAAAATTTTAGGTACCATATTCAATTATGTCGGTATCTTGTTGGCGTTGAAGGATACGCCATTACACAGAAGTTGTATAGCATAGTTTCATGTATAGTATACTCCTACAATTTTAATTAAACGTAAAAAATATGCACAAAAATCGTGGATCATTTTAAGCAAACTCGATTACTATTTTCAATTGCCCGTCAGCTTCTGTAGCCTAATTTAATGACAGAGTTAGGCTGATTACCTTTCGCTGCTCCAGACTGCATCATACTGCTTCTCATTGCCTCTGTAGGGCGTACAGTCGCTTGAGGGCTTCTTCATGAACATCACATTCGTGATAGGCAAGAAGCTCACAGCTAAACTTAAACAAAGAGCTGTTGAAAAAAATGAAGATGCTCGGGCTTGCCCAAACCACAGTTTTGGTCGGAGCTTTAATACAAAAACATTGAACATATTTGTGAGAAGGCAAATGAAGAGCACCAAGCAAACCAGCAGGGGCATCATGGGCGACACAGGAATGGCCAGCCAACAAAGGGTTTGTAAACGGATGAGTGTGTAGACATTCGATGCCAGTTTGAACTCGGGGGCACTTTTCGACACAAATTTGTTTACTTTTTTGTCGAAGCGATGCCGTGTGATGCACTTGACCAATGATGCGGGTGCTTTAACGATGCAAACCCGCAACATCGGCAGGATCGTGAGTTTCATAACTTGCACCACACCGATCAAGAGCACCATTGAGTAAATCTGTTGTGCGTAGCTAGTTTCCCAGCAACTGCAAGTTTCATCTTCTACTACAGAGTACAGTTCCGAATATGCCATCATTCCGATAGTCATCAAGTGGAATGTAAGGCCTCTTAATATAAGCCAAAATAGCTGGTCGTGGTGGGATCGCTTCTCCATCAGTCCCAGTTTTTTGAACACAATATCTGCTACCTTGACCGTGATCGCAATTATTACACTGGTCCCAAAACTGCCCAAGAACCGCTGACACACTACTTCGCGATGAGAAGAGCCAAAATAATCTAGAATTTGTGTGCAACGAACACACAAATATACGATGATCAAGCCAATCAAAGTTGTAAACACCGATGCCAAATGAACAATGATTCGTTTCCTGGCGGTTGCAAAACCATCGATTTCTGGCAATTGTTCTGCCTCCATCATGAGTTGTAGTTCTCGTGCCAGATGCTGCTCGTCAGCCTTCTTGTTGAGTCTTTTTGCTGTGCTGAAGTTCCAGCCTTTGAATACGAGAGGAGTGAATATGGTGAAACAATTGGTTGATTTTAGACGTTGCTGCATGAGTATCCAGTTTACCAAGGCTTCCCCGACGATGACAATTGAAACGGAACCTGATGCAATAACGCAGATAAAGTAAGCTAACTCTGCATCGCTAGAGTAAGTCCCAGCAAACAATTTGCTACTTTCGATTATTCCTTTACCCTCGAAAATGGTATGAAATAAATTCACCGATTCATTAGAGCAGTTCATGGTCGGTGTGCAGTTTGTGATGCAGGCCTGTGAAAGACAAGAGGAAGTTGAACAAATTCACTTCTAAACTGGATCTATTTTAACAAAAATAAGGTTAAAATATAAAAAATTATTGTAATTTGCTTATTCCATCTCAAAAAGTCGTGCCTTAAAAAATAAGTCGTGCCTTCAAACTATCGCCAGTCATGAAAAGATCCGGTCAAATGACACGAGTTTAGATCTATAAACAAGGCACGAAAAGGAAAAGAATCGGCGACAGGCCACATCAGGCCTACACTTCAGCGCCGACATTACTATGTTATGTTATGTTAAGTCTGTGATTCTTTTCAAAACGAAAAGGCTTGAAAAATGCAGTAGTTTTACATAATAATTTCTTCATGCATTGCACTAGCCTCAGCATTGTTGCTTGACGAATCGTCAGCGCTAAGATCCATGTACAATACAGCCAACAAGAGAAGACCCAGCAGAAAATTTAGGAGCAGAAGCTTTTCAATGAGATAAAAAATGGCGGTGACTCCTCCTCCTGCCTGGGCTTGTACCATCTTGTTGAGAACGCGTACAACCTGATATACGAGAAAAATAAATTAAATCACAATGAAAAATCCTCCCTGAGCCAATGTTATTAGACAATATAAATTTGCAAAGATTATCTGGGAGACACTTGAAGTAAAAAATCAAATGCTTTGCAAATTCATAATCCCAACAAAAGTCGATACTCGACATTGATTACATGTAACACATAAGTCATACTAGCATCGAGTCTTACGTTGATACGGGAAAATGCATGCTTGATAGACCCTTTAAATCGCCAGGTGATCTTCCCACAAGAGTTCATCTGAGGTCCAGCGTCCACCGAGTCACCCTGCACAAGTTCCACAAAAGTTGGACGTTAATGCTGTTCTCTTCACCCTCGCCTTTTACCCTCTAAAGCAAATTCGGAAAGAGTTCTCATAAACTGCTGGTGAATGCCTCACTTATGAATGTTTGGTGGTTATTGTAACAGTTGAGTACTGTGCTCACGATTCCTGCATCGTATGTCAACCGGTGTGGTTCATAGCTCCCAGTCACAAATTATCACGAGCAAACATTGATAATATCAGTTGATATTATCAATGTTTGATATCAATCAAACATCAGTTGATATTAATCAAACATTGATAATATCAAACATTATTATCATTACATGAATAATATTATATCAGTAGATTCAGCGTTAATCTTGTCCGGTCCATGCGAGAAAGTTAGTTTTCTTATTCATAACGCTAACTGCGTTACGTAGGTAACTTGGCCTGAGAAGGTTATTAATTAACTGCAATCAGCGAGCGATTAGGAATAACATATCAACTACCGTTTTAAAAGAAATTAACTTTTCGCACAAAAAGCTCGGTCCATGTTATAGGCGCACATTATCACACAAACTAACAATAGTCAAATTCAAATGAATTTATATCACAAATTTGTAATGGAGTTTTAAGTACATATTCAAGATTATCTACTAGTTAATATAAAAATATAATTCTCTATACAAGGCCAAAAGGATGAATCCTTCATTCGAGTTTTTACTCGTATACGGATTAAAATGATAATATTATGTTGAAATGCAGATGGTTTGAAACGAAATTTTTCAACAACACCAAAAATGCATAATTATTAAAGTATCCTTACAGATCTTAATCAACTCCTAAGAAGCACTAATCTAACTTCTCTCGGAATTACTTTGATGGCATCGGAATTACGAAGGAGGCGCTGCCGCTCAACTCTCTTGAGATCTATTGGCTGTTTCTTGAGCTTGAGCTTCGACAGTTTAACCTTCGCATCTTCCACTTTGTTATCTGCGCAGCAAAACACATATTTAATTAGATATTAGCCAGCAATTCATTCATGTTTTGAAGTCTGCATTGTCTATCTTGGAAGACATAGCATCAACACTTGGGTCCTAAATATTAAAATCGAAAGAAACGTTTTGTATGGCTAAAGTATTCCATATCGTTAAGTACAAAAAATGCAATTGCGTCTGAATCGGAAAATTACGGCACTGAATGTCCAAGAGGGTAAACATTCTAATTGAATTTTTGAGAGAATCAAATTACATACCGTGTAATGTCACAACGGAACCATCACTTGACGTCCGGGAAGGATACATTTCCGTGAGGGTGGCATCGTTAGGTTGAGACGAATATCCGGTTTCAGTAAATGGCGTCTCGATAACAGTTCGGCTTTCGTGAGGATAGCCATTGTTCCCATGCAGTAAAGGAACATTTTGATTATTTACGTTCTCATAGACTCTAGAGGAACCGAATGGAAGGCTCTCAGCCCGATCGATGTTGGTGTGTGAATTCATTAGTTTCACGTCAGTGTTAGCAATGCCTTTTGAATATTATTCTACACATGCCTATATACTAGCTCGTATCATGTTATTTCATTCCTCCATTTAATTTATTCGTTATTTAGAAACTAATAAATCGTCAGATATTTGGGATTAAACTGTATAAGTTAATGGGTACTGATGATAGTTTATATATACAACGCAGGAGCGTTGTCTTGAACGACACAGTTTACTGGAGAAGAAAGACCCAGACTGAACACCAGGCACACTAAACTTAGTGTGAATATGAAAACTGTTTTATTAGCTACCGTGAGGATCTATAAAAGTTCTTATCAGCTTGAAATTAACTTGTCAGAATTTCCTATCATCTACAAGATAAGATTATAGCGTAAGACCCTCAAGTCATATAATGATAACGTCGCTTCTTGTGTTGCAGAGGCACCGGCCTTAATCGCCCATTGCCAGTGATTGCAATCACAGAAGCTATATATAACTGTATAAATTTACGCAATGGTTGAGCAAGCAATTTAGATCACTTCTTGAAAATTTAAAACACTAAATAAACATTTCAGAGCATACAACATTTATAAAAAGTTTTTTCACAGTATCGTCCGTGATATTGAGCTTAGCCTGAGCAGACCATAAGCACTGTTTTTGAATGCCCAAAAAATACTGTGCCAATGATATTAATTATGACTGGCTTTAAATCATTCTCAGCTCTCTTATAATACACGGTTATATATGGTGTATTGTTTTTCATGTTCGTCCTTCACTCAAATACTAATAATGTAGACGAATTTTAAGCGGGCAACAAGGGTGGAAACTGCATGTTGAATGCGGTAAGCAGGAAACACAAAATTAGCTAATAATAAACAATTACATCGAACTGCTAAATAACGTTGTAAACTACATAGTGACAAATTTTATTATTTACTACACTTGGCAACGAACAGCGAATTGGTTGCGACAGCCCGATCATACGATTAAGTAGCATGACGGCTTACTTGCAACAGACTTATCTTCCTTCGAATTCGTTTATGTGAGACATCAATAATCTTTATATCAGTAAGTTTATTAACTTCTCAAATGCCCCAAACTAACCCGATCACCATAATTACGGTGCAAACACGAGCATTTTTCTCCGTGCATGCAACCGGCACACTGATCATTTCGCCGCTACCAGAGCTGTGTTCAACTGTTCACCTGACCCCTTAATTGCTGTCGTCGTCTCTATGCAGCATAAACTTTCCCTATAGTCAATTGGAAAATCTTGTTTGGTTACATGAAAGTGCAGGAATTTCTTCCGTTAGTCACGCCTTATTTGTGGGACCTTCCAACTTTTAGGAGTTGAGGCTTTTCCCGAACAATTCCCAAAATTCCAGCCGGACTATATATGTAACAGTACTAAGTCTTACGTCATTAGTTGGTCCAAATCCCGAGTTCACCAAGAATTTAAAAGCTAAGAAAACGCCAAGTAAATTCACCTCTGTCGTTTTTTGTCACTTTGGTATTGATTTTTTGTGTATATTTGGGTTTTCACTGCTTATTATACATTTATTCTCTAAATTGTTTATCAACTGATGATGGAGCTGGTCCGCAAAACGTTTTCATGAAGATGTCGTGAATTTACGTGACCTTTCTTTGCCTTTAAATTTTTAGAGTATCAGGAATCGGATGTTATATTCAGGATAATTGGACTCCTACAGTAAACAAATTTTTTCAGTAAAACGGCCGTGTGAGATAATTTAAACAGATAAAAATAGTAAAATTTATGGATTGTTATAAATTGATAATTTGAGTGGAATATCTCTTACTAAGAAATTTTCACAAATCTTATTATGTGAGAGCAGAGCGTCACATATTACCCACGCATATACCTACCCATCGCTTATTACCCAGGCCAATTTAGCACATATATGACCCTCAACCTAGCACTAAGCGTCACAGAATGTATCATAGAAAATTAGGTTTACTGTAGTTTTTGTCAAATTTTTTTGCCTCGATTAAAAATATCATAATTCGTCATGTTTCGTATGTAAGAAAAATAGTGAAAACAACCTTTGTTCATTTTGTTGAATGTCTTGTCGATATTGATCAATACTGATCAACACCTTGGGCGAATAAATTTCAGAATAGAAAACCCCTCATGAATAATTTGTGATACATAATATATGTCCACGAAATATAAACTTCAAGTAAATGAGGTCTGCTGCCGGCATGCAGTTGCTTCGATCATCCGCGCTGTTGCCAAGCAAGCAACACAAAGGAAGCTCGGCGTAAATATGAATGTTGACTATGAAAGTAGACTGCGGCAGAATAAGTTTATTTTCGTAGCCACGTAGGGCCATTCTTACCTTTCATCAGTGACGGAATAATTGCCTTAATGGCTTTGTTTTTACAGACAATTGCTGGTCCACTGACACACTTGTGTAAAGTTTATGTTTTTCTCTATAAAACTTTTTTCTTATGCGTGTGCTATAACAGAAGCAGAGGGAATTAGCATTAGAAATTGTTATTAGGATTTACGACTTGAATAGCGATTGCAAACGTGGAGTAAAGAGCAAGGATATTCGGAGAGCAGCAATTAAAGAAGTGATATAAGGAAGTAATGAGCAAAGAAGTAAAAATCAAGTAAGTAAAGAGCAAGGAAGTAAAGAGCAAGGAAGTAAAGAGCAAGGAAGTAAAGAGCAGGGAAGTAAAGAGCAAGGAAGTAAAGAGCAAGGAAGTAAAGAGCAAGGAAGTAAAGAGCAAAGAAGTAAAGAGCAAGGAAGTAAAGAGCAAGGAAGGGATGATATTCGGAGAGCAGTCCACGTCACAACCTATACTATGCACTTTCAATTCTTACCTTTGATTAGCAAAAGTCATACCGAATACAGAAATTTCTCTTTTGATAAGTCGAAGTATAAATTTTTATTTCTGAACAGAATAAAAAAATATAAACATTGTGGCTCGCTATGTACTAGATTAATTTATTTTCATCAGTTATCACAATTTTTCCTATAATGCTACACTGAAAAATTCTCAGTTTGCCTCCAGCCGGGTTTATTTCTTCTTGTCTCACTTCTAGCATTCACTATTATGCGAAAATTAAGCAGTTAGCATTTTTTCTCGTGTCAAAAAGAATTATGGTAGCTATTACATAGTACTAAGTGCATCTGTGGTGCACAACAATACAATAGTTAGTATGTAAGTTCATCAGACAACAGAACATTTTAAAATCGCGAGGGCACAATTTGCTAAATTGTAAAAATTATTATTATTAATATTATTTTCATTATTATTATTAGTGATATTATCTTTCTGATTATTATAATTATCTTTATTAATATTATAAATACTGATCGCCATAATTTCATTATTTCAACTCCAGTCAACATGTATCCCATCACCCAAAACCGCCTTAATAAGATTAACACTGAAATATGTTCATTGTGGTCACCCCCCCCCCCGATTAAACTTGAAAGACGACAAACTTTGCGTTATCCCCTGCTGTGGCACGAGAAAAAAATTTCAATTTGTAAATTTTCGGTGGAATTACTTACCATTCACAACTACTATATTGAACAAGATTTTAAAATCCCGGCAACCTTTCTTTTCATTCTAAATTTTGAACTCAAATAGTCAAATACTGGTTATTGAGGAAAGACATGTTCAAAACTTGATTAAACATCCATTTTTACTTTCCATCTTCTGAAATGAGAAATACATCACCATCAATTTATTTTATCAAGTTTAATCAATCTATTTAATCAAATTAAACTCATGCCATTGCAGAGGTCAATCCCTATTTTTTTATTCAACTAGATTTTGATTACTTTACTATTATCCCACTATGAAGCAATTTTTTTAAAGGCCTCCCACACTCACCATTCCAACAAAAAAAAAAGAATTGATTTTATTAATTAAAAGTTTCAGGTCCAAGTGATATCCCGGCATCATTAGTATCGATGATATTCGCCTCAACAGTCCCTATATTTTTACACTACCAGACTTCAGGCACACAAACTTTAACGGATATATATAAGATTTAACGTTGCATTTTTTTATTTTTGATGAGTATTTGAATTGTAAGTGTTAAGGATATAAAAAGTGTTCAAACGAATATTTCCATTCCTGAAGACAACAGTAATTTTGTATTAATTTTTGGAGACACTCGGACTAATTTTAAATTTTCCGATTTTTTAAGCAGAAATTATAATCTACACGTTATTTAGCACTCTTACTGATCACATTCAACTCTAATACTTTATTTAAATGCTGCTTAGCTTTTAAAATTAATCTTCAAGGTGCCCTATGTTAAGCGTCATGATTCTTATCAAAATAACCCGTCTATTATGGGCGTGCGTTTTATGTCCAAGTAGCCTGACCGGCCGAGCGAGTTCCTAAACAGTAGCTCGATAATTTGTTAAGTGGGCACCCTATTGCGTGCAATCTTTAGATCTCGTCCTCAACTCAATCGATCATTTTTTCGGTCGTTATAGCAATCTAAACGGCTGGCTCTATTCAACTGCGGTGCTCGGACTTTGAGCTTTGTCCCTGGACAAAGGATTCTAGGTCTAAATTTTTATCTTCCTTTGCTATTTGAATTTAATTACAAATTATTTGTGGTTTTCTTAAGCGGAAACACATAATTTAATAAAATTTCATTTACATTTGTGACAGTTCTTCCTGACAAGAATTGCCATGTCGATAGGACATAGAAATATGCAGATCACTCCGCGTTACAATTTCCCCACTAATACTAAACAACCTAAACATCTTAAATGTTAAACAATTTAGATCTTCATTATTCTGAAAATTAATCTTAAGTTCCTGATTATAGCATACTCTTCTGAATTCCCTTCACTGGAAGTTATTTGAATCGAGCATCTGTTGACATTCTGTAGCAATACATAATATTATCAAATCTCAACATTTGAAAAATGCATCCTCATGGTGGTACACAAGTTTTAAATTCTCGAACCGAATGGATTTAAAAACAGTAAACGTCAAAAAAAAGTAAAAAAGAAAAAACCTACAAAAGAAATACAAAAGAAGGGGTTTTGATTACCAATTCTACCAGAATCTCTCACTCAAACAGCTATATTCCGAATAACTGATTAATCATTTACATCTTGATCCTGTTAGAAAATACCACAACTGATAATTTGCACGTAACTAAAAAAAAACTCAATTGACCAACCGCTTCTCCGCATCGAAACTATACCTCCCGAGCAATTACCTCTCATGCAACCGGTCCACGATGTTATCTTCCTCTTTAA